TTAGAAATCTATTTACCAGGAAAAATCACGACATGTTCAATACCTAGTTTACCCATTTTAAACTAGTTATGACCATTTATCAAATCTAATTATTCACGTTATAGCAAGATCAAGAAACCCCTTATATTGCAATTGTGTGGTTTTACACTTCAAAATCTTTTTAGCTTTTAGACTTACTTTATTTCTAGTTTTTTTGTAGCTTGTGCTCATCATTTACTTTCATTGTATGAAAAAGAGCAGTGTGAACATTTTACTAAATATCTCCATTTGTACTCTTTAGGTATAATGTTATGTATTGGAACATTTTGAATCCAAGACAACAGAGTTTTCATTTTTTATATTTTGTAAACAAGTGTTTTAAGTTTATTGTCATCTCTAGAAGATTGAGGAAAGTTTGCGGCATGTTTATTTCTCTTGCTCTGTTGCCTCCCACCATACATATGACACTTAGGGTTTCTCCTATTTGTTTAACTCTCAAGCCCCACACAGGGTTGTAAAATAAAGTTGCATCATTAGCCAAGATCTCTCTCTCTCTCTTTCTCTGTTGAAGCTGGACGGCTCTTAATCCAGGTCGTATTCGTCACTGAAATGCGATGTGCTGTTCACTCAGTCAGCAGTTCACTGGCTTCATGCCACACACATGCCCGCACACACATACACAGTTCTGTTTTTCTTTCATTCGAATGCTCACTTATTCCAGGTTTTATATAAAACAGCCTTCAGGCTTCTTGGAGATCGAAGATACCTCTGTTAAATCCATGAAAGAGGAATGGGGTGCAGAAAAAGAAACCAAAATAAGAAAACACAGGAGCCCCTTTTCTGTTTCTTGGAATCACTTTTACCGTGAACTAGGGTGTGGGTGTGATAAACTACCTTGATTCCCATGCTGTGATCTGTCAGTTTTTCCTGGTGAGTCATGCTGGATGTTGAAAATGCAGTATTTTAGTCCTGGGCAAAATTGTATACATGTACTTTAGAACCATATTTAGTAAACAGGATTTCAATAAATGTTATAAATGATCTTAAAGGGAATCTGTCACTGTGACTGCATTTGTTAGCTCAAACTATAGCAAAACTGTACTTATTATTGAAAAGTTAAAAAAGCATATTCTACTGTAACGCATTAGTGACCTAAAGGATACAATATTTGCTTTTAAAGACATAAACATACTTTTAATGAAAGGAAAATCACTGAATTTGGTTATTTAAATTAACAAAACTATTGCTCACAATGTATAATGAAGTTGATAATTAGTTAATGTATTTTTACTAACATGAACTAATAATGAACAATCCTTATACAGGATTTATTAACCATAGATCAACATTTACTAATACGTTATTAACATCCAAATTAATGTTTGTTAGCTGTAGTTAATGCATCGTGAGTTAACATGAACTAACAATGAACAACAGGATTTTCATTTACGTGAACAAATACTGTATTAAATGTATTGTTCATTGTTGATGATGTTAGTAATTGCACTAACTAACATTAGCTAATACAACCTTCTTGTATAGTGTTACCAAATTATTTTATCTGAAAAGCTAAAAATGATTAGTTGGTTGATGTTTATGATCAGAACAAGAACTAATATCTGTCAGTGGTGTATGGATTTTTGGAAAATGGATTTTCCATATAAATTAAGTTGACTCAACTGAGTCTGTTGTCAGATATTTGTTCTTATTTTAATTCTCAACCTGTTTTATTTTGATCAGTTTCACAGTGAACAAGTCTTCTCTTGCAATTGTGCTTCCCAAGTAAATGAATCTTGATTTAATAACTTGATAAAGATTTCTTTTTCTTTTCTTTTTTTTTTATTACAGAGGGTACAAATATTATTTTCACATTCTTGTGTTTGGGGGCAGAGTTATACAACCTTAAACAAGTTTTGTTTTCCATTTTTCTGTTAGTGTTAGGTTTTTGCTTTTTGTAAAAAGAGGGAAAAATCACTGAGCTGAGAGTTGTAAATCACTGAGCTCAGTATAAAGCTGTATTTTCTCACTTTCAGTTTTGCTGTCTTGTGTGCTTTTGTTATACCTTTACTTTTACAGAACACAACAACATTGAATTATCTTTGAATAATGTATTACATTCTCTTTTTTTGTAATAAAAAGTTCTAAATTTAACTTTAAGGGATAGTTCACCCCAAAATTTTTGTGATTACATTCTCATCCGTCACATGCTTAAAGTTTATTTTTTTGTTGAACACTTATAAAGACATACTGTCTTGTAAAAGAAAGCAACATTTGACCTCTGCTGTATTTTTTTGTATGCCTCCTATGTATGTCAAGTTTTTTTTTTTTTGTTCCAAAATTCTTTATAATATCTTGTTTTATATTCAACAGGGAAAAAAAACTCATAGTTGAGCAAATGGTGAGGAAATCGTATTGTTTTGGTGACCTATGTCTTTAATAAAACCAGGTGAAAAAATCTTGCTTGCTTTCAATTGGTCATGTATTAAAGTTTTCATTTCAACATTTTATTCATGTTCCATTCTCCAAAAATATCTATTTCTGGACTGTCACTTTACAACAAACATGCTCATAATTTTCCAATCTGCATCAATGAAGTAAGCCTTGGACCATCAGTTTACTGGATCAAAAATCTGAATTCTTTTTCTCAGAATCTCATTTCAGAGTTTTGATTGCTCAAGCTAATGGGATGAAATTGTATTTGCCTCCAACTTCTCACATGGACAGGAATTTAATATGCAACTCTAGGGTGCTTTCATGAACAGACCGTCTTTGTGTTAGTGATGTCTGAATTCAGGTCGCTCAGAGCGTTCGCTGACACATGGAGGCCAGACCAGCGCTCTTTTTAGTTTTACACCGTTCACATAAACTCCCTTAAGAGCTTATGTCTGTCTGTACTCTTTGCAGGAGGTGCTGGTCGTTCTCCAAACTCAAAAAGAAGGGGAAAAAGGCGAACTGGTTAATAAAGTTACTGATGGAACATTCTCTTCATGAACTCTCATATATGTGCCTTAATTAAATGTCATGTGAAAATTAGGGCTTAACAGGTTGCTTTCTTAAAACGTTTGCTTTGGTGTCCATGTCTGTGTCCCTTAGGGTTAAAACAATATTGGTCTGTTTGGCATCACATAATCAAATTAAGTTGTGTATATATGTAAACAACACTAAAAGGCTGTTTTTAAGGATGGCAAGGACTCTTGGGAAGCAGCCAGATCCAGTTATTGGACGTTATGCAGTTTATTTTTAAGCGTCTGAAGAAGCTCAAAGGTCATGCCAGTGCGAAAGATGCTTGTTGGCCCACAAAACAAGCATTTGTGTTTCTTAGTATGATTTTTTTCATTCATTCATTTTATTTTCAGCTTTATCTCTTTATTAGCTGTGCTTTGACACATACCTTATTTAGTTTGGTTGAATCGCATTAGAGTTTGTTTTCCCTCTTGGTACGGTTTGTTTGGGCAGGTGTGAATGTAGCAATCTTACTCGAGTGCGCACCAAAAGAAGACCAAAAAGCGAACCTTTCAAACGAACCCTGGAGCAGATCCGAACTAAAACAGACCCAACCGCAAAAAGTACTTTGCCTTTTTACACTAATCCAGCTGCCATAGGCCAATGCATTATGGAATATGGAGGAGTAATATTTGTTGACATCGCTTTGCTAATAGAGTGAGAGAGAGGGAAAAACATTACCCGAAGGATCGTTAGTAACGTAATATTTCCAGAAGATGACCATGTCGCAGTTTATCAAAATTAATTCACGCCTCCTTCTAAATTGACGTACAATGCAACTTCGCAGTTTGCAGTGCATTAAAACATTGCTTTCCAGCTGCAGCCGTGCTTCATACTCGAAATGTAAAGTTTGTCTAAAGTGGTGTATACAAACTGTATAGTATACTATGAGCAGGGAAACAATAAGCTAGCGCAGTAGTAGCTCTAAAAAGTGAAGTTTTGTGTCTGCCGGTTTGTTTACTTGCTGGAATTCCATTGACATTTTCCCACACGTGAATTCTGACCAATCGAAAAGCAGTTTAGAAAATATGTGAAACAACATCTGGCGAATAAGTGATGTGAATTTTGTCAGATGACTGCATTTTGGTTCTTTTCAACTGGTTTGGACCAAAGCAATCAGTGTGGTGTGAAAAAGACCCAAAAACGGCAGAACATGCTACAATGTATTATTTGTTGCCCTCGGTCTGGACCAAATGAACCAAACTACAGATGTAGATCCCCCTTAATCTAGGGTCGCCACAGTGGAATGAACCGCCAACTTATCCAACATAAGTTTCACGCAGCGAATGCCCTTCCAGCTGCAACCCATCACTGGGAAACATCCATAGACACTTATTTACAAACATATACTACGGACAACTTTAGCTTACCCAATTTACCTATACCACATGTTTTTGGACTGTGGGGGAAAGCGGAGCGCCCAGAGGAAACCTACACGAACACAGGGAGAATATTCAAACTCCACACAGAAATGTCAACTGACCCAGCCAGGGCTCAAACAAGTGACCTTCTTGCTGTGAGGCGATTGTGCTACCCCCTGCACTTTTGTGCTGCCAAAGAATGGCAATTAAAGGCAAGATTTTAAATGTCATCAACAGAGCAGTCATGGCCTCATGATTAGGGTTACACTTTTAGGTTTATGGGTTATCTTTCACCTATCTTTCACCTTCAATACCACAACTGAGATGAGACTATTGAGCAAGGTACTAAAACACTTTATTGTGTGCTCAATTTATTGTGTCATCCACTATTTTGCAGAGAGGTTAAAAATAACATTTACTTTATATTATAGCAAATAGCAAAATGGCATTTACTTGAGATTTTTTTACTTGGTGTTAAATTTTTTTTAAGAAAGATGACAGCATTATGTTATTTTTACACCATCAGTGTTTAAGTAAAGTCTGTTGACAACAACAGATTTTCTTGGATTTTATACCAATGCTGACAGTTGTGTTTTCATAGCAGGTGTAATCGATGCTAATGTGTTCTTACAGCTCTGTTTGTTGTTCGTTTTGCAGGCTCGGTGTTGGACGTCATCAAGCACATCATTTCAAAGGGTGAACACAAGACCGGTGTGCTGGACGAGCCTAGTATAGCTACAGTGCTGAAAGAAGTGCTTCAGGGTCTCGAGTACCTTCACAAAAATGGACAGATTCATAGGTAAATCACTTCTGTACATTTTTGAAATGCTTCAAGAAACATCAAGAAAATTCATGTGACTTTTCAGTTTTTTCCAAATAGGAGTTAACAACGTGCAGTTTTATAATTTTTAACTTTAATTAATTTAATTTATTAATTTATATTTATAAATTTATTTTTTTAAAACCCACCAAAATTACCTGAGACAATCAACAATCATTCAGTCAATTTTATGAACCAGTCAGATAAACTTCTCTCAAATGAAAAAAAAATCACGAAAAGGTATTCTCATCGATAAAGTGTTGTAATTTCTAAAGATTAGGTTCCAAGAAGTTCCCGTGAAGAGTGCAGTTCCTGAAAAAAGTTGTTACAAGTTCCTAAGAAGTAATTGTAAAAGTTCCTAAAAAGTTTGTGACAAGTATTTGTGTTATTTACTATTATGGCAATTCTAGCATTTTTAGAGATAAAATAGGCTTGTACAGGTATCGCAAACTGACCGAAAAAAAAGACAATTTAATCTAAGCAGATAATCTACACATGCTAAAGTTCACTTCTCTTCCAGAATGCTGTTGAATTTTATGTTTGAAAATATATTGCAATCTGAAAGTGAAAACTGCACCGGTCCTTGGTGTTTGTGGTGCATTGTAGTTGTTTGTAGCAAATACGTAAAGTCATAGAATCATGACCAATCATTGCTTACATTATCAATCATTGGTGTCAGCATTTATGCTATGCAGCTAGTGTTGTGTTGTGAGTTTTAATTACAATAGTTAAAATAGACAATAGTCTGAAATTGATCCAATAAATTAAAAATTAGCCTCCCTTAGGGAATTAAGGAGTTGTAGGTTATCCTAACTTTAAGAAGAATTATTTCGAGAAATTGTTAAAGGTAGTTCATTTAACAACCACAACAACAACAACAACAATGATGTGCGAAGTTACTTAGCCTCAGACTAAGGGAGATTACACTTTTGCTACCACTCTTTTTGAGAGTGAAAAAACAAAGGCCTAAAAAAACCCTTTGTTTACCCAAAATGAAAAGCGAAAATTTGTTAATAATTACTAACCCTCATTGTTCCAACCCCCTGAGACCTTGGGTCATTTTTGAACGCAAACTAACATATTTTTGGTGGAAACTTGAGAGCAACTTCATCCTCCATAAACAGCAATGGTCCCAGCTCATTCAGGGGTACAGAAAAAACAGACCATATACCTTTAGTGGTTCCATTGGAAAGTTATTAAGCTATTAGGGTACGTTTATGTGCACATAAAACAAAAGTTTTTTCAACAGTTTCTTCACCTCAGTGTCAGTATAGGGCGCATTTGCGAAAAGGATCTGCTCTTTATGCAAGTCATGCTCAGTATTTCTTTGGATGCGTCTATTTTTTGTTTAAAACAGTTGTGTGTGAGCATCTGGGTTATACATCACTGAAAGTTTCACTGATCCATGTTTCATCACTGGCAGATCTTTAAACTAACTGCTTTTAATACATGTTTATTTTCAACTCAAAGGGTGGTTATAATGCCTGTGAACAAGACTTGTTTAAATCAGCCTAATGTCACACAGCCAATGATGAAATGAATTCATTAAACTTCAGAATCACCATCACTATGATTTGCCATTTGGAATCTATGGAAAAAACTGAGTGAGCAGGCCAGTTTATTATACCCTTTATTCAGTCTTTTATCTTTCAATCTTTAAAATGCTCAAATCTCCATTGATGTGGCCAAGCAAATACGGCCGATTCATTCCCAATCTTTCAGCAAGCTCATTAAAGATTCCTATGCTGGTTTTTCCAAGATGTTAATCTTCAGATGTCAATACAGTCTTTGCATTGATGACTCACTGATGGCTAATTTAAATCATCCATCTGTTTCTCCCTTTTTATTTTAATTGCTTTCTTCTCGTATCTCTTGTTCTTTTACTCTACACGCCTGGGCCTGTTAAAGCAGACTGTGTAAATAATTCACAGGCTTTTAGTCTGGTTAAGTACCCATGACTTGCAAGCTTGACTCTGAATCTCAATGAAGGAGACGTTGTGTTTTAGCTCTCTGCTGTGCCGCTGATGTGACGGGATGTCATTTTTGAATCAGTAGAAGTTTTTAAGTGTTTTTTTTTTATATCTCTGACACAAATGCTCATTTAGTTTTTACACACAGTTTTTGGAGTTTAATTATGAATACACTTGTATTAACATGCTAGATGAAGGTTAGCTGCTCACCCTTTAATCAGTTTTTAACTGTAAGATGATTCGATGTTTTTTATAAACTACTTAAAGAATTAGAAATAAATAAATACAAAAATTGAGTACAGTAAGTGAACTTGACAAAGCACTTTTTCCTCTCTGTGTGCACCAGACGCATTCTCGTACACATTCTGTGGGCCGATCCCAATTCTTCCCCTTAGCCCTTCCCCTTACCCCTACCCCTCGTTTTGCGTGTTCACATGAAGGGGTAGGGGGTGTCCCAATTCTTGAAGGTGTAGGCCTGAGGGGAAGGGCTAAATAACCCTTGAAACTAAGGACCATACGTGAAACCAAGGGGTAAGAAAATTTCCCAGAAAACACCATCTATAATGGCAAAATGACTGCACACGGAAGTCAGGAGATGCACAAAAAGCATTTTTTGTCATTATTTTGAATCTTTACAACAAACAATAATAAATATGATTAACTAAATAGTTCATTATGAAGTTTCACAAATTTTGCATTCGAGTAAGAACTGCTTTTAATATTAATGATTATATTTGTAATTATCAATTATCAAACAAAAAGGCCCATTTGTAACTTATTTATCTATTCAAAATATTTTTTTTTAGTCAAGACAGTCAAGAGAGCCAGCAGCTAGAGGCCCGTTGGTGGTGGATTTGTCTATTTTTATTCAGCAGACACTGGCTCAACTGTTCATATTTTAGCTTGCAAACCTGGAAGCCTAGAGGACAAGTAACCCAAGATTATTAAAGGCATGATAATAATAGTCCATGGGTCACCTATTCCAAAACTTCCCAGAATTCAACAGCATCAGCATATAACCCTATATCGTTCTCGGAAATCCAACAAATGTCAGACCAAAAGCATATCGGCGTCCTATGATCCAGTCCGGTGCGATGATTTCATGCTCTTTAGGAGCCAAGAACTAGCACTCACAACAAAGAGAACCTCAGTGTTAGAAAAGACCCACCGAGTCCAGTCACAGAGTTCATTTATTTATGCAATATAAAAACATGCATTTTACTCCCTAGAGCTTCATATCACACAAAGTTCATGCCTCCTTTGGTGTAAAGGGTATGCATTGATGCCGCTTTCCCATGTGAATGTGCACATACAGACATCTTTGAGGAAAAACATTCTGAAATGTGGCTGGTTGTGATAGTTGTTGCTGTGAACATGCCAGTATATATTGAGTGACAGTTATCATCTTAAATTTAATTTAGATGCGTTTGACAGCTGAGCTTTTTTTACTTTGCTTAGTGTCATCTTCACGCCAAAAGGCTTATTGGCATCTTCATCAAGTGCTGAAGAGTCTGTCAACTGTTGCTTGTATCTATCAATGCAAGAGTGGTCAGGTTGGATGTTGGATCCACTCTTCTCTGTAGTATTTCCAGCATAATGGCCTTATAATATTATGTCCTTAGCTTTATCAAATAGTAAGCATTTCATTGAGAATAGGACCAGCATGTGGTCTTTTCCATGTGAGGCCACTTGTATTGTGGAATGTGGTAGCAGGTCGATGATATTTAGACATGCAATAGTGCATGGCCAAATCCACTTCCCTGTCAAGCTTTTATAATTTTGGATATGCTGCATACCTTGCTACACCTGCATAGTCCATTATTGATAATCACTCAAGTAAGTAAAGTTTATTATTATTTTTTTTACCCAAGGGTATTGAAGCTTAAGAATGATTTATTAGCAAATATTTAAATTTTCCAATTGTCTCCTAATTTCAAGTGGTACTCACTGCAGAGCCACTTGGGCAGAGGTGAGCTCCAGCAAGGGGGAGCTTGAGCTCCAGCTCCTCCTTGCTGCACTTCTTATACAAGTGATGTCACTGGGGGTTGGGGTTAGGGGCGGGGTATGTGCATGCATTAAAACAGCGTATAGAAGGAGGAGCTCAAGCTCAAGCTCCCCTTCATTGGAGCTCAAGTGGCTCTGCAGCGAGCAGCATCTTCCTAGTTTCAGTATACTGTAGAAGAGTTTGGCTAGAATTTTCAAACCTTGGTCTGGTGCCGCACATTCTTCCTTCTCCAAAAGCTTTAGAATAGTTCATACCTTTCTGTTCTTGCAGCAATTTTTGCTGGAACACCTCCTGTTGCTGATTTGCATGATTTATTTTGAATATCTTCTAGTTTTGAGGCTTTTTTATTTAATATTTTGTAGACTTGTAGAATTTCTAGCCCAAAGCAAACAACACTGTTACAGCTTTCAGAACAAAGAAACAAGACAGTCACAGTGGAGACAGAATGGTTTAAACTGGGGAAGGTGAAAGACCTAATGGGGAACTGTGAGGGAGAGACTAAATGGTGTTGATTTTTACGCTCGTCTGCTGAACTTCACAGGCCAGTGAGGTTGATGAAGGATTTGCTCCATCACTCCTCTTTGACAAGTGACTTCATGTCACAGTGTCTAATTGCCTCCAGGCATGTGAATGGACTGTTATTGGACTGTGAACGGACTCCTTATTGCACAAGGACTTGTAAACATTGAAAATGGGTGCATCCAAAATCATGCATCTGGGTACGTACTACATTGTAGTATGAACTTCGTGATCGTTAGAAAGTAGGTCACCATAATAAAGGTGGGAATCACCAGTTCTTGCAGTACAATATTTTATCATGACACACATATGATTATAATATCATATATTATATTCTATCATACAGTGAAATTTATTACCTTTTTCCAACTTAAATTATGCCCCCAAATGAAAACTTTGGCAACATCTGCTCTAACTAAAGTAAAAGGCTCTCTTTATTTCTTTTTATCTCACTTCTTTTTTAATGACACATTGCACAATGGGATTGTCAAGCATTATTCAATTCAATTAATCTTTTTTTTGTATAGCTTTTACAATGTAAATTGTGTCAAAGCAGCTTCACAAAGAAGATTATAGTGAATTGAAACAGTGTAGTTTAGTTTTTTCAGAGTTTAAGTTCAGTTCATATTAGATTAGTCCAGTTCAGTTTAATGTGTTTTAATATTCACTGCTAAGAGTCCAAACATTGAAGAGTAATCTATCGATGCACAGCTCTACTCTCTTATGATTGTGTGCGCCTTTCCACAGTACTGCAATCTTAAATGTATTTACAGTCCACTAGATGGTGGTGTTGAGTTTTTTTCTAATGAGCTTAGTGACCCTCAGCATGCACTAAGTTGTTAAATTATGATTTTAATATTCAACTAAATTGTGTAATAAAAGTTGGTGATATATTAAATTCAACTATATTGTGTAATAAAAGTTGATGATATATTAATGGTTGTTTGTGTATCAATATAGTATTGCCACAGGAAACAAAATGCAGTAATAAGCTGTGTCTACAAGTGAAGTCAAAATTATTAGCCCTTTTTACCACACACAGACAGGGTTCAACAATAAGGACTGCCCGGTGGCCCTGGGCCAGCGTGAAAGACACTCGGGACAGTAGACAGGATGAGCACGTTTTTTTTTTTTTTTTTTGCAACCTGGTAACAACCAGTACAGCGAAAAGATGGCAACATGGCGGCAAAATTAAACAATGAGGCTAAAAGAGAACGTCTGTTTCTAAAGTCTTAATAGCAGACAATTACATGGGTACAAAATTAAGAAACTGAAAAAAAGTAAACAAAAAGGGGTGTCATTTTGGCAAGCCATTTTTATAAAAATTATTTAAAATTGCATTAAAATAACAGCACATTTTTCATACTGCTCTTTCATTTGCATAAAATCTTGAATTTTGCTCATTATACATTAATTAACATATTTGAAATGTTTAAATTCTAGATTTACTGGCATCATTTTGCCACTATTTAAAATATGTGGCTAAGAAATAGCTATTAACTTTTTAGTTTTTTGGTGGGGCCAGTGAAAATTTTGGCAGGGCAAGTAAAAATCTCAACCAATGGCCCGATCGTACCCGTATAAAAAAATCCTTAGTGTTGAACCCTGCACAGTCTTACTCATGTTTGCCCAGCAGAAATAAACAGCTGGGTCCTCTGCGTTTTGTTCATTTTGAATATGTTTTTATATCTTGTTTTTGAAATCAGATGAGTTCTCTCCTCTTAGTGGCCTGTCATCGAAATATGCAAGGGTTTATCAGACAGCTCAACGAGAGCAATAGTGTTACAACCACTCTAATCGTATCCACACATCTGTTAGACTTCAGGAACCCCTCCAAATGCACATGAGTGAACATGTGTTAGTGTGTTTAGATTTGCCCAGCAGGAACGAACAACTGAGGCCTAGTTGAATATGTTGGTCGGTTTGTGTATCTGAATTTCTTTGTGTGTGTTTGTTTGTTCATGTGTGTGCATTTGTTTGTGCGCTTGTGTGTCTCTCTGTGGGGGCTAATATGCAGAAAGCTTGCAATTATGGTTTTGCACCCCTGAAGTGCATAATTGGACATCATCATGGCTATAAAATGTGAGTGTTATGATCATCAAAACATAGTCTTGTTCAGTGGTTCACTGACTTGCTGCCCATGGGCTTCAGTTTTATTCATACCTCTGCTGCCCCCAGATGGACAGTAAAATAGCATGCAATGAGAAACGAAATACACAAACCAGGGTCATCACATAGGGTTTGCAGTTCTGTATTATTTTTTTAATTTAATCATTAATTCAAGTGATAATTTAAGTTTTAGTTGAATTACTTATTCATGCGAGTTATTCTTAATAGCTTGGATATGTTTTTATAGGCAATAAAATATAATGTATTATTATACTAGTAATGAATACAGTATCTTGCAAATTATTTCACATTATTTAATATTATATGACATATTACAACAGATTTGCTTTTTTGTATTAATAATATTGTAATATAGAGAATTATTTAATGGGTTAAATAATTTTTTCTCTTTTATTGACTATATACACAGTTGAAATCAGAATTATATAACCACCCTATAGTTCAGGGGGTTTAATAATTCTGACTTCAATTGTATATTTTTTTCAGAAATTACTTTTCCATACAAGAAGCATAACACTAAAATTATGATCATTAAGTCATTCCAAAAATATATGTTTGTTACTTTAACTGAGGGTAATCCTGTTTAAACTTGTTGTATAAGATTCTAAGTTGAAATATTTTTTAAATATCAGTGAATCTGGATGTCTATAAAAGAGGAAAACATCCCAAAATAAGTATCAAAAAACTAAACTAAAACAAAAACAGTTAATTCTGGTAAAGCCTTCTCCATTAGCTCTTTATTTTACTGCTTTTATAATACTTTAAATAAATAAAACTGTGTTTGTTTGGTATTGATATAAGTGGTTCCCACTATATATATATATATATATATATATATATATTGGATTGTAATGTTTTACTTTAAAAGAGACTAAGCCAAAAAGAGAATGATTGAATAGAGATCCACATCTGTGTTCATGCATAGTTGTTTGTGTGTTTAAAGACCGACTCGCTGTGTTTTCCTGCAGGGATCTTAAAGCTGGAAACATCCTGCTGGGAGAAGATGGATCAGTGCAAATCGCAGGTACTAGCTTTGTTTAAATGCCTAGTTCATCAAAAAAAAATGAAAATTCAATAATTAATTACAAAACCTTTGCTGTTTCAACCCCCTGAGATATTCATTTATCATCAGAACACAAATTCATGTATTTTAGGTGAAATTTGAAAGCATCCTCATTCTCCATAAACAACAATGGTCACGACTCGATCAAAGTCCAGAATAACCCCAAAACAACATCCATAAAACAGACCAAATGCCTTCAGTGGTTCAATCAAATGATTATCAAGCTAGAATAATTATTTTGTGCAATCATAAAGCAATAATCACTTGTATAACAACTAAAATATCAAAGTTTCTTCTCCAACTTCCTCTGTTTTTGTTTTATGCACAAACAAAAAGTTTCTCATAGCTTGGGAATATTTAGATTAAAACACTGGAGGCATCTGATCAGTTTTTTGGTACATTTCTGGACTTTGAATGATGCTGTTTATGGAGGATGAGGGAGTTCTCAGATTTCCCTTAAAATATGTTGATTTGTGTCCCGAAGATAAACAAAGGTCTTAGGGGTTTTTGCAAAGGGTCTATTGGTAGTGTGAACTTATTTCATTTGATTTAGCATAATATTGAATTAGGTTATAATTCCCATTAAATACTTGTGTATAACTTAAACCTAACCTATGTTTAAATAAAGATTTACTGCTTGGTAACAATTGTGTACACACCCCTGCATGATGTACTAACATCGAATTAATTACTACATTACTTGTACGCATTGCTGGTAACAAGAAATTGGCTGTAACTAACTTCATGTAATATTTTTGTAAAATGCACATAAATTTCAATAGTTTTTAAAATAAAAAATATGAATATTGAATCATAATTCTTGTGAAATATTCCCATTCTATTTGATTTGTTTTATTTGTATCCATTTTTTTAATTTATTGTTTAAAGTATTACTTCTAGAATGTCTTTTTATATAATTTATTTGAAGTGCCGTGTGTCATTATTATTTATACATTTACTGTATTTGTCTATTTGTTACATGTTGATTAGCATTTTTTTTTTACTGTTTCTTTTTTCATATCTGTAGATTTCGGTGTAAGTGCCTTCTTAGCCACCGGTGGTGACATGACTCGAAATAAAGTGCGCAAGACGTTTGTGGGGACGCCATGTTGGATGGCTCCAGAGGTGATGGAGCAGGTAAACACCTTCTTTTTTCTTCACTTACACATTAAAGTGCTCACTTAAAGCCACACAAATAAACAAAACGCATCTGATTGTAGAGTGAAGAAGATACAGCAGAACCCAAAGGTCATGGAAGATCGTTTGTAGGGTTGCACGATATTGGAAAAATCTGATATCGTGATATATTTTTTTTGCAACATGGATACAGTTTCATAAGATGGTTTGAATAACTCTATTTGAGGTTTTCTGGGGAGACTAACAGTATTCAGGTACAGAAATTGACTAATCACAATGAAAAAAAATATTTTATTACTTTTTTATTATCTAGTTTGTAGTCCAAATAATACTAAAATTCTTATAGCAAGTAAAAATTGTAGAAGTTTTTTCTTTAAAACAAGCTAAATGATTTGCCAGTGGGGTTGGTGAAATAATCTTGTTTTCGCAATGAAATGTAGACATTTTGACTAGAAACAAGACAAAAGTAAATTTTTTTTTTATAAATCATATAAATTTCATATAAATTCAGTGATTAAATACAATTCTTTAGCTCCTACCTAACTATAATCTAGACTCAACATTGCTTATCTTCGCAATGTAGCTATTGTGGATACGCTTATTGCAATATTGGTGCTAAAACAATGTATTGTGCAATCCTAATCGATTATATTACAAAAAAAATTATATGTGAAAGAAAAACATTTTATTAACTCTGAAATCACATCATTGATTCTGGTCCAAAATACTTTTGAAATGCCAAAAGCCAACAACAACAACTGATTTTAATAAATGCGAGTCATTTGATTTAATCCTATTAATTAATCATGATCCTAACATTTATATCTATGCATAATCTCCGATTATCAGACCATAATTAAACTTTTAGAAATCATTCAAATATTGAGTGTCTAGGATGCAGCAGCTCTATAGACTGTAGTGGCACTATGATTTTGTAAAAGATCCACAGTAATGGGTAATATGACTAAAGATATTGAGAGGGTTTTCTCAATTTCATGGTGTAATGATTATCTTCAGAAAACATTTTTGGCAACCTGGTCTTCCCATTCTTATATCAGTTTTTAGATTAAGTTTTACAAGTGTATTTATGTGTATTTTATTATTCTGTTGAAAGTGTAGGACCAAGAAAAATCAGAACATTATGATGGCCTTCCTGCCTGTCAAAATATTGCCTACTTCTGCACACCCTGTCGCATAGAAAGATTACATCACTGCATTCACAGATGTTGTTCAGATACTCAAAAAAAAAAAAAGAATCATGATGAAGTTTTTCAGTAACTGTTTGTAAACTTTTGATTTTATTTAATTTGTCATTTTTTTTTATTTTATTTATGTTGTCAGATTTCCTAGAATCATTCTAAATCTGCTAAAATCTAATACTATTAGATTTAACCGGTTAAAGATATGAATATGGTATAAAAATATCTAGCTGTAGCAAAAAACCTGATCCAATTAGTTAAATTCTATGAAATTGGTTTATTTAGTCATAACTTTACTCAATTGGTTTACTTAAGCATTTAAGGCACAATTGATTTACTAAATACATCTTGTTCTTATTTCTTTTGTTTTTTTAAAGAGCTATTATGCATTAAAAAGGGTCATATTTTGGTTTTGGGGGTCTTCAACCACAGTCTGATATGTATACAAGGTCAAAAAACACTTTCATTGTGTTATGCATTTATTTTTACCCAATTATCCCAACATCTCAACGTCTGTTGTGATTTGTCAACTGCGTTCAGCGAGAGAGAAATGTCCACCTCAGCTTATCAACAATTATAAAGTAGTCAGATTGCAGAGAGAGTGTGCGATTTAAACACCAGCATATTGCTCTATTCTTAAATATAAGGAAAAGCAGTAATACACATTTAGTATTAATCCACACAGTGGCAAAAGCTGAACTATTTTAAAACTTGACCACACGTATGTAGGAACAGCTGACGGTGGCCATAGCAACTACAAACAGCAGTGGATTGAGTGTTTACAAACGCATTTATATCCGTAAACAAAGCGACACGCGTTTTCAACGTGGCTTTAGACGCGATATAAGAATATAAATGGTTAACCAGATACAGTACAAGCAATTACAAGTAACAAAACACAGTAATTAAATACATAATTTGCAAGCTAGAGAAAACAAAGAGGCAACCATTTTGAACTCACTTAAGTTACTTACACTTGTGAAATGGAAGAAAGAACTGCTCCATAAACTGTGTACTGTAAAGTTCCTGTCAAGCTCTGACAAAGTCCTATACAGCAATCGTCTTTTCTGATCCTTTAACAAACGGCCAATAAATTCCCCAGTGTAAGCATGTAGATTGCTGAAGCCCTCATTAGAAAAATTATAGGAAAAGAGCACAAGGCTGAGGCCATAATGCTAAGGTATTTTTGCAAAAATAAACTTCAACCACTGACTCTTCATAGCCTCATCTTTGGGTAGGGAAAATAACACTAACTTTCCTCTTACACTTCAGAGCACAGCGTCTATGTGACTTGATTTAACCTGGATCTGCTACAGCAGGGGTCACCAACCCTGTTCCTGGAGAGCTACCATCCTGCACAATTCAGTTGCAACCCTGACCAAACACACCTGTTTGTAATTATCAAGTGCTGCTTTAGGTACTATTAATTGGTTCAGGTGTGTTTGATCAGGTTTGGGACTGAATTCTGCAGGAAGGTAGCTCTCCAGGAACAGGGTTGGTGACCCCTGTGCTACAGTGTTTGTCTTCCTCTTTTTCTTTCTACCATGTTTGTGGGCGGGGCCGGGGGTTTTAATTTTCCCGGGTCTGTGCGTGCAACAAATGGGCGGGGCTCGAGTTCCGTGTCGACGTCATGCCGTCACGGCTAAAGACTCGTTACAGTCCACTATGAGTCGACTCTTTTGTAGATGAATAAATAGTTAGGCCTAAATATTTTTTTACGTGCAGAGAATGAGTCAAACATCAACAACCTACCTTCTCTTTTTAAAGTTTGCCAAGTAATTTGCCAGTAATTACTAACTGTACTATATATTGTAGTGATGTTGTCTTTTATTGTAGTGATGTTGTCTAGTGCGCGGCCGTGTTTAAAAGGCATAGCATTGGATGCTGATTTGCAAGGCGGTACACTTTCTGTGCTATCAGGCTAACATTAGCATTTCCCAAGTTCTCCTACTGCACCTTTAATTGAGTAAAGGCTGGGACCAGAAAACAGTTTTTCATAACAAGCGGATGTGGACTGAATTACACAGACAGTTTAGTCCTTTTAAAGACTCCAATGTGGTGTTAAATTGCCAGTAACCGCTGGCATGTGGATGCATCTTTTTGTGTCAAATGAACATGTGAGTGTTTATGTGCAGGTCAAAGGTTACGACTTCAAAGCAGACATCTGGAGTTTTGGGATCACAGCCATTGAACTGGCCACAGGCGCAGCTCCGTACCACAAATACCCTCCGATGAAGGTGAGCGGAAAAAAAATACAGCTCCAGAAGCAATCCTACAGCTGTTTACACACTGATGGAAACATGCTGTTTTTCTAGCATGCTTCACAGATGTTTATGTGCGTTTGCAGGTGTTGATGTTGACTCTCCAGAATGATCCGCCTTGCCTCGAGACTGGCATCACAGACAAAGAGATGGTGAAGAAATATGGAAAGTCTTTGAGGAAGATGATCTCGCAGTGTTTGCAGAAAGAGCCGGAGAAAAGGTGCTTAGCAAAGCTGCATGTTGTTGTTGTTGGGTCATCATGTAATAATAATATACAGGCGTTGCTGTATATTTGGGGTCTGTATGCTTTGTTTTTTATTAAATATGCTTGATTAGAAATATAATAAAAACATTTAGGTAATAAAATGTGATTTAAATTCACATTTAAACACTTGGCATACGCTGTAATTTTACAAAGTAGGACAGTAGAAATAATCAAGGCAACAAAGAGACAGACAGACAGACAGACAGACAGACAGACAATCAATCAAATACCACTGAACAGATTCTATTTTTACACGTTTTAAGCTATATGAAGCATATATAAATTTATTATATATTTTGACATTTCATATTTTTTCTGTGTTGGCAAAGCTGAATTTTCACCAGTTATTTGTCATATGATTTTTCAGATTTTTAACATGCTGATTTGCTCCTCAAGAAATATATGTATTTTTACCAGACCACTTTTGCAGCACTTTTAATAAATAGAATAACTCGGAAATGATCATGCATACGTTTTCTTTCACTTTTGATCGCTTTAGATATGTAAATGTGTGAGTATTTTAATGAGTAAAACTAGATGACTATGTTTATGCATCCATCTGTTATTCATGCTAAATATTTTAATTGCAAAAACCAAAGATATTTTTAAATGACTTTATGGTGACATTTAGATTTTTTTTTACACTTCTTTGAATTACAACAAATGTATAATGTTTGCTTTTTAGGCCGACATCATCAGAGCTCTTAAAACATAAATTCTTCCAGAAAGCCAAGGTAAGAGTCCTTACTAAAGAATGTTTTTTGCCTCTTTATTGTTTGATATTATTAATGCAAGTGTTGTTTGTACATTTACTCTCTCTGCTGTTTTTCTCTTACCACTATAACTTCTCTGTAGCATTGTTTGTTTTTTTTTTTTATTAACAATTGCTTCTGTTTCTCAATTGATTTGAATAATCAATCCTGCATCGATTCCAAGATTTTCAAAATGTTTCATTATTCTCTCTTAAATCGATTCTGAATTTTTAGCAGCAGATGGCTCTCTAGGCTAGTTTTTAACCGTTGTGTAAACACCGATTTCTATGAACATTCTTGTATTTCGCTTAAACTTTTTAATTGCTGTAAGCAGAGTACTGCTGTTTGTAAAGCATATAGCGCCATCTGCTGTTTAAAACTAAGCTCAGAGTTGATTAAAGAAAGAATAGCAACGCTTTTTAAAAATCGATTTAAAAATCGATCTAACATTTTATGTAATATCTTTATGTTTACATATTATGATTTATTTCAAGTATCATAATTATAATTATCTTTATATATTGTAAAGTTTTATCAAAGGTCACATCAGAGATGATAAAAATATTCGAAAACAATCTAATGTGAAATATAGTATATTATAAAGGGTGTGTTTTATATTTTCATTTTATTTGTTAAACCTGATAAGGGTGTAATGATCCTCCAGATGTCTATTAACATTAGTATTTGACAAAAAAAATAATGGTATAAGGATTAGAAACGACTTTGAGGTATATTGTTTTTAAAGTTATAGTTCATCCAAAAATGAAAATTCTTTTTGAGTTTCTTTCCTCTGTTAAAGTTATTTTGAAGAATGCTGGAAACTGAAAGTGATTAACATCTATTATATTTCTTTTTACTATGGAAGTCTATGACTGCTGGTTCCCAACGTTCTTCAAAATATCTTCTTATGTGGTCAGCCGAAAAAAAGTGTATATATATATATATATATATATATATATATATATATATATATATATATATATATATATATAATCATTTTATTTATTTATTTATTTTTTTTTTGGTGAACTATCCCATTAATGAAAGCTAAGCTGTGTGTGTACAAAGCATCTGCATTCCCACATTTGCATGAATCATTGTTGAGTGGAGTCCAGAATTCCTCTTATTACTGGACCATCATGTTGGTGTCCAAACAAAAGCATGGATAAGTATCCCAGCATCCTCTCTTGTTGTCTGCCAAATGCAATTTCCCTCTCTATTTCTCTGAATCAGGAGTTAAGACCTCAGATGTTTCTGCACATGCCCAGTAGGGGGCTGAACTTGAATGTCAGCCCATGTTGTGAGTCAAACTTAATTGGTGGTTATTACCATAATTAAGACTAATATTTATTTTTTCGTTCTGTTTTGTTTGGCAGAATAATGAATTTCTGCAGGAGAAATTATTACACAGGGCACCTACAATTACGGAGAGAGCCAGAAAGGTAAGGAAAATACTGTTTATTGGGCATTAATTAAATTTTTAATTGTTAATGTGAGATGTTTTGTATGTAGTGGTTAATCATTTGTAATGTGTTAATAATGTTAATGTGCAGTCTTTTAGGGTCATACTATATTAGCTTAAATGATAATTATTTATCTAGTTGCTATGGTTATGTATGACACCACAAATTGATCTCACACTAGAAATAATAATAAAAAAATCAAATAAATGTATTTTATTATTATAAACTGCTTATGTTCTGTAATAGTTTAGCCCATTTTTATTTGTCTATCTTCAGCACTACCAATTAAATTCACATCAAGGACAAATTACCATACCTATTTAAGGTATTAAATCAAATACTTGTTAAATTACATATTTTATTTTGTAATCATTTTTAAATATGTTTTGAATTGCATAAAAGATTTAAACCTTTCATGTTTATTTAAATTAGTGATATATCCCATTTGTATATGTACAGCACTACCACTCAAAATCACAGTAAAAAAATATATTTAAATTATTATTTTATACAACTTATGTTTATTCTCAGTAAACTGAAAATGCTGTTTATGTCACCAGATAGGCTCAATAAAAATATTCTAAAAAAGTATGAAAAATTCTAAATGTGTTTAAAATTGCATTCCATGTATTAATTAGAATATATATTTTTTATTTGTTGCTGTGTGCGTGTGTGTGCGTGTGTGTGTGTAGGTACGGCGAGTTCCAGGCTCCAGTGGGAGACTCCATAAAACAGAAGATGGAGAGTGGGAATGGAGTGATGATGAACTCGATGAGGAGAGTGAGGAGGGCAAAGCTGCTGTCGCTGCCTTACGGGTAACACACACACACACACACACACACACACACACACACACACACACACACAAAACACACTCATGCTTTCACTGCCAATCAGTAGTACAGATAAAAACTGCCTATTCTGCTTTCCATGGCTACATTTTAAAAATTCTAAAGTAAAGTAAAAACTGTACAATTATTAAATAACCTTACAATTCAAAGTAACAGCTTTCTTATAAAATCTGGATTAAAATTGTATTAATCTCTGTGAAATTTCAGCATGATTACTCCAGTCTTCAGTGTTCTGGATTCACACAATCCTTCAGAACTATATACATATACTGTTTGCATATATATATATATATATATATATATATATATATATATATATATATATATATATATATATATATATATATATATATTGTGTGTGTGTGTGTGTGTGTGTGTTTGTTATGTTACAGCCTTATTCCAAAATGGATTAAATATATTTATTTTCTCAACATGTTATTGCTAATTTATTCAAAATAAACATACATCAGTATTTACAGACTTTGCTGTGAAGCTCTAAATTGAGCTCAGATACATTCTGTTTTCACTGATCATTCTTTAGATGTTTCAGCAGCTTAATTGGAGTTCACCTGTGGCAAATTCAGTTAATTGGACATGATTTAAAAAGGCATACACCTGTCTATATAAGGTCCCAGGGTTGACAGTGCATGTCAAAGCACAAACCAAGCATGAAGACAAAGGATTTGTCTGTAGACCTCCGAAACAAGATTGTCTCGAGCCGCAAGGCTAGGAAAGGTTACCGAAAAATTTCTGCTGCTCTGAAATTTACAATGAGCACAGTGGTCTCCATCATCCAGAATTGGAATATGAACTCTTTGGAGTGAATGCCAGGCATTACGTTTGGATAAAACCAGGCACCGCTCTTCACCGACTAATCAGAGCCCAGACTCAAATCCTATTTAACATCTCTGGAGAGATCTGAATATGGCTAAACACTGTCACTTCCTTCTAACCTGAAAGAGCTTGAGAGGTACTGCAAAGAGGAATGGGCAAAAATTCACAAAGACATGTGTGTCAAACTTGTGGCGTCATATTCAAAAAGACTTGAGGCTGTAATTACTGCCTAAGGTGCATCAACAAAGTATTGAGCAAAGGCTGTGAATACTTATGTACATGTGATTTTTATTTTTTATTATTTTTTATTTATTTTTATTTTTTTTTAACGTAAATTTAAATAGTTTTTTTTTTACATTTTCATTATGGGGTATTGTGTGTAGAGTTTTGAGGAAATAAATAAAGATAATCTATTTTGAAATAAGGCTGTAACATAAAAAATGTGTAAAAAGTGAAGCGCTATGAATACTTTCCATACACAGTTGAAGCCCCCCTGAATTATTAGCCCCCCTGTTTATTCCCCCCCCCCCCAATTTCTGTTTAACGGAGAGATTTTTTCAACACATTTCTTAATATAATACTTTTAATAACTCATTTCTAATAACTGAATTATTTTATCTTAGCCATGATGATAGTAAATAATATTTTACTTGATATTTTTCATAACACAAGGTTATAGCTTAAAGGGCAGTTTAAAGTCCTGGGTTAATTAGGTTAACTTGGCAGGTTAGGGTAATTAGGCATTTTGTATAACCATTTTTTTTTTCTTTTAAAATTTAGGAAATATATAAAAAATAAGAGTAATAAGTGGGGCTAATAATTCTGACTTCAACTATGTATGTATATATATATATATAAACTAAAACAAAAACAGTTAATTCTGGTAAAGCCTTCTCCATTAGCTCTTTATTTTACTGCTTTTATAATACTATTTTATAATACTATAATATTATTAATATTTAAATAAATAAAACTGTGTTTGTTTGGTATTGATATAAGTGGTTCCCACTATATATATATATATATATATATATATATCTTAATAATATTATTTAATTTTTATTATTATTGTCAGTGACAGGAAATGTTATGCAGCTTCATATTTTTTGTGGAAAATTGTTAAACAGTGCCATTCAAAAATACTTTTAAAATGTATTTTTATTTGTCAAGGGCACATTAAATCGTTAAAACAAGTTTTCTTTTTTAAAGATTTTTATATAAAATATAATACATTTTCATCTACAATCTTTTCATCAAAAAATACTAAAAAGTCAAATGTATCCATTTGAACTAAGAAGCAGCAAAAAAAAAAAAAATTTCAAAATTTATAAATATAGGAATCATTGTTAATGATTGAATACAAATAATAATTATAATATTAATACAACAATAAATCAGCATATTGTACATTGACACTGAAGACTGGATATAACTCTGCTTTGAATCACAAAAATAAATGTTATTATAAAACCAAAAACTGGTATTTTGTTTGTAAATAACATATCACAAAATTGTTTTTTAACAGAAATTAATAAATGTGATCAAATCAATAAATAATAAATATTGAATTAATTATAAATAAATTTGATGAAATGAAGTTTTAATTTATCGTTAATCGAATGCATGAATTTTAAATAAAATAATTTGCAAGAAGAAGAGACTGTTCAAAACACTGAAAAATATGCTGATGCAGCGCTGGTCGTCTGTACACTCTGTTTGTGTTTGTAATGGTTTTGATCATGTGGCGTCTGTTTTTTGTTTGCCGCTAAAGGAGCAGCAGTCCAAGTCAACAAGACGTCAAGTCCGTTTCTCTCAGCCTCTCGAGCTTCCCCCTGCCAGGGTTGTTCAGTTTCCCGCTGATACAGATGGTTCACCTTAACAAGGAAGCACAATCAGTCACTCACAACACTTGCTAGTGTTCTGCTATTATACTTCAAAGGCTAAAACAGTATATGAGATACCAGCGCTGAGGTTATATAATGGTGAACGTTGCACCTTCTCTTGTTGTGATAATCTGGTATCCAAGCAAGAAATAATCAAGTGTTGTATAAAATCATTTAGATTGCTCTGCGTGATAACTGTTGGTCCTTATCCTCTGCTTATATACTGCTGGTCAAACGTTTGAAATATGATTTAATAGATTTTTTTATATTTTGAAAATTGTTTTTGATTTTTTTTCCACCAATGTTGCATTTTTTAAAAATTTATTCAAATTATTGTGATTCAGTTTAGAATAATAATGGCAGCTGAATTATAAATTCATTATAGTTATAAACAGGGATTGCTTGACTTCTCAGCATCACATGGTTTTCCTAATATTTTGTCTTGTTTTTATTCATGCTTGGTTATGAACATAGTTCTTAAATGATAATAATTCTTAAAATGTATACAGTCGTCGGCGCCAGTGGTGTAGTGGTTAGTGGGTCGACACATGCACTCCGGTGCTCGCAGCGACCCGGGTTCGATTCCGCCTCGCAGTCCTATGCCGATACTTCCCCTCTCTTTTCTCCCCATGCTTTCCTGTCAATTCTCTCTACTGTCCTATTAAAAAAAAAAAATGTATACAGTCTTGCATTTTCTTTACTGTATTATTGACCAAAAACAGTTGTAGATTTATAGAAAATGTAATCATTTTTAAGGTAATTTATTATTATTGTTTGTTTTATTTGGCCACAGAAAAAACTTGTTCAGTGAGTTGCCTTATTACCCTAATTAAGCCATTACATTGCACATTATTACCAGTTTCTTGCAAAATACCTAGCAAAAAATATACATTTGTGTACATCTCTCTGTTCTTGGGAAATATTTATAAACTAATTAAAATTCCTGACAGGGAGAGAATTCAAAGATTAGAGTTTTAGGTAAATTATAAATTAATTAAATTGATTTATTTTTAAATAATGACTTTGGGTCATAGGGATTGCATGAGTTTCCTAATATTTATATTTTTGTCTTTAGTTATGCTAAAAGAGATCTTAATTCTTACTATCATGATTTTTGAAGAATAGTTTTTCTCCTTTTAATTTTGAACCAATATTTCACCTTTTTTTGTACTGCATTTTTGATTAAATAAATGCTGCCCTGATTAGCACTTGAGACTTCTTTCTTATAAACAGTACAAATCTCAGTTCCTCCAAACGTTTGACTGGCAGAGAATATGAGATCACTTACCAAATGATACACTTACAAGGCTACTTAAGCTTGACCGTACAGTATGCTCTAATCTCAATAACTAAACTGTAATAAAGCAAAAACAGTGCAAATATACAGTTCTTACTTGGAAAACAAAAATCAGGGAGACTGACTGTATAGTGACCGTGTGCTTCCTGGTCTCCATCTGTATCATGTTTTTATCTTTAACTTTTTGACGTACTGACCAAATCAACGACCTCTGATAACAAACCAGGTTCTGTTTAACAGCCTCATAATAAGACTTCTGCTAATTGAAGAACTAACATGCGTTATGGTCACTACATGATCTTTATTTTTCAATATGTTAGCTAGTTATCTGGAAAATGTTTTGTATTTGACCTTTTTCACTTTTTTAGGTATGGGTCTTTAAGGCTTTTGGGATGGTTCACTCCCCAAAAAATTTTTTTTCTAACTTTAGTCATTGTAGATTAATAAAATGCAAGTAAATGCTACAGATATATTTGAGATTAAAAAAAAATAAAAAAAACACAGGAAAAACTAAGTTGATATATGTAGCTGATAATGATGCATTGAGTTTTTTAGCAAAACAACCAGTGCAAGAACTAATGAAAATAATGTAAAAAGCTTTTACAGCAGTATTACCTTTAATCCACTGCCTTGACAAACAATCCTGTTTTTTGTGTAAAGGGGGTAACCTTCTCTTGAATGTGTCCGTTTAAGAGTTTGGGACTAAATTGAATGTAGTTTACACGGTAAACTAAAGTTAGGCGCATGTTTGCAATTTGGTTGCATTTCTGAATGTGAATATTTGGATCTTGTTTTATTCAAATCAATGGAATGTGTCAAATGAAGTACTCATGAAGGACCTTAACTCCCTGCTTCATTCTCTACTACAGTGCATTCAAATCCAAGGTTGAATTGCAGTAACCCAAACCATTATTTGTTAATATCACCAGAGATTTAAATTTGACCTTTGACCTTCTGTCTCTTTCACAGTCACCAAGAGTAAAAGAAGGAGAGAATGCAGAGGTATGTAGACATTTTAGTATATGTTATGCTTTTGTTTGCATGTAATAGTACACATATAATGCAGTAGGATACTGCAATATACTGCATTTTGCAGTGCAGAGTCTTTATTAAAATGTATGTTCTTATATAAAAATGCTTAACTGATTTTTAAAGTATTTGGAACAGTTTGATGAAATAATAATAATTTTAAATAATCTAATTCCAAATCCTAACAAAAAGCAATGATTTTTCATTAGATTACTACAGTAGTACTATTATATGCATTTATTGTGTAATAATGCACACTCTGCAGTAAGTGTACACTTCAGTGTTTGCTATTTATTAGTTAGCTTGTAAAGTAATAAACTCCAGACATCACTGCAATTACTGGAATTTAGATTTGATAGTGTTTTCATTTTTAGATGTTTTTACTATGTATTACTTAAGCTTAGGGTCAATTTTAAGAAGACAGATGTCAGATTATAGCTGAGGACAATTTTTTTTTCAAAATTTTATTATAACAAAAATTATCCGCCTATGAACATAGTAAAACAATAAATGTATATTTTATTTCATTCCATAAAATATGTATTTTACGAAAACATGTTTTAGCTTTTAATTTTGAGCCAATTAGCCAATAAGCCAATTATTAAAGCTAAATAAAGCTGCGTTCACACTGCGAGGCTTAGTGCTCAAATCAGATTTTTTGTCTCGGATCTGATTATTTTGCATGGCTGTTCACACTGCTCTTATAAATGTGGCCAATATCACATTTGCAGTATGAACAGATCATGGTCCTAAACTGATGCAGACTGAGCTGTGAAGGCGGAGTTGTTTATCTCCGTTTGCAGAGTTATTTAATTTTACTTCGTTATAAACAGCAGACACGTGCAGAACTGGGGTTTGGGTGCTCGAGCACCTGCCCTTTTTCCTCTCTGAGAGAAAGTTCCCCCTCCTTTGCACATGGATCCCCTATCCGCAACATCCACAATGATTTCGGCTTTGCGATCAACCCGTGCCTCAAACGTTAACCAGATTAGTTAACAAGCACCAGTTAAGCACCAGCCTTCAAAACCTTTTTCAATATGAACAACCAACTTTCTGTGACACTGTAATTGCCCTGTGTACCATTCTACTGTGCTGCTGAGAAGTAGATGACGTTTGCATCACAGATTGATGACGCATGTCGTTCGAAGATTATGTAAAAGTTACATGAAATCCGACATAACCATTCACACTGCGGTCGCACTGCAGAACATCAGGTCCGTGTCTGATTTAAGACTACATATGAAAGTGGCACAAATCTGAACTGAAAAGATCAGATTCCATGCGGTTTAAGCTGTTCACACTGTCATTATCTGAGTCACATGAGGGGGAAAAAATCAGATTTGGGCCATAAGAGCTTTCAGTAAATTCAGATTTAGTTTAGCCTGCAGCGCCAAACATGACAACCAGATGGCATGCAGTTTCCATTGATGACTATACAAGGGCACCCCCTATGTTTTGAGGAGTATGAACCGTATTTTTGACGATATTTGTAAAATAGACATAAAATTCTAAAGCAATATAAAAAATTTGTTGGTATTTGAATTTGGCTACTAAAAACATTTTTTATAAAAAGTGACGTGTATCGCTGTAGCAAAGTAATGATGTACAACTAATGACTGTACTCACTACCAGTTAAAAAATTACTGTTGCACTGCAGTATCTGTCAAAAATCAATCACCAGAAATACAGAAATTTTTTTCTGAAGAAATTTTCTGTAGAAATTTAAAGCTTTCAAATAATATATAGGTTATAGTTTTGGTTTGTTTAATTTTAAAAAAGTAACCGTAAATGGTCTTGCAGGCTGTATTGTGACAGTAAATGCATCTTAATCTATTACTCTTCCTATATAACAAAACAGTGGTTGAATATGTACAGTATTCAGAAGTCTCTGACCTTACCAACGATATATAGTTTTGCCATGGTTAGATTAGAATGTAATTGCAATAAAGTGCATTACACTTAAGCGTCTTGGTGTAGGGTCGGTGACAGTTAAGGGGTTTTAAGGGCTGGTTAAGGATTAGGGTTTGAGTCAACAGTGTAAATATTGATATATCTAAAACTACCTTTCAGATGTAATTGCATGCAGATGTTTTTTTAATATATGTGCAATGCATGTTTATATATGATAAGTACATTGTATCAAAGGATGGCTTTTTAAACTGTTGGTATAGTTAAAGACACTTAATGTAGAGAGGGTTTGACAAATATTTGTGTCTGTGTCTGTGTGTGTGCGCGCGCGTATTTGTAGGTCTTCCAGCCATTTGGCAGCCATCTCCAGCCTGAACTACCTCAAGCTGCTGGGCAAAGTCCAGCCAACACTCAAAACACTGGCCAAACTACTGGCTCGTCACAGGCTCAGAGCACAGCCCCAAACCCCACACAGGTACAGACAACAACAATCAAATATCACACATCTTTAGGGCTGTTTACGCATGCTCACTTCATGTGTTTTTTGGGATCGATAGCTATTCATTTGTGAAAAGGATGGGTGTAAAAGCCCACCAAAATGCATTAGTTACAAATATAAATTCATTCACTCCGACCACTTCAGGAGGTGCTCCTGGTAGCATTCCATCTGTAATGTAAACATGTGAGTGTAGGATATATCACATAATAAGAAGTGACCAGGTGTTAAAAGGCGTTATGACATCCCTTTTCCAGTTCACATTCTGTTATTACTCTCTTGCTCATCACCATCTCTGTGCTCTCTTTAGGCTTCAGTTCCAGGAGGTGATGCCTCCCAATCTCCAATCAGTTTAGTTTTAAGGTTAAGGTACGATGTTCTTGCTGTTTTTTATGTTTAGAATAATTTATTAGTGATGATACAGGAGCAGCTGATGATTTGTGTTTCTCCTCATGTTTTACAGAAACTTGAAAAAAGAGCTGAATGACATACGATTTGAGTTCATGCCTGGAAGAGGTAAGAGTGTAAAGGCTAATAGTCTTTTGCCAATAATTATGTCTGTGTTACACTCAACATACAAAATGTATAATTGTAACTTATTTTGATTTGTTTTAGCAGTATTTGTTTTTTTCCCCCCACATAATTCATATTATTTATCCGAATTTAATTGAACTTCCTCTGTAAAATGTATAGGGGGTTCTGCACTGGAGGAACTTTTTCATGGCTTCTAGGTGTATTCACAGCGCAGGAACTGAAATCCTCTTCCATCTTAAAAATCTTAAGAGAGCATCTTAGGGATAAAGTCTAGATCGGATACCCGGATAGCTGTAAGTGCGATACGCGCATCAATATAGCAGCATTTTTATGACACTGTAAAACAATAGTTAATATTTTTACAGCACTGTGACGGTTGGGTTTAGGGTTGAGGTGGGGGTAGACGCTAATAAAATACAATAAATGGGAAATGTAATAAATAATATAAATAATTCTCATTAACTTCTAGCTGCACCCATTTCCGATCTACTGTAGCAACAACCCATCTTAGGGGCTGTTTAAACAACATTTCCAGACAAAACTGGAAAGTTTTTAAATGTATTTTGGCAATTTGTTTACATGGAAACAGTGTTTTTATAATTGAAAATCCATAAAACTGTTACAAAGTTTGTTTTTGAAAATGCCACTGTTGTTGTGTCCCTGTAAACACCCAAAAACGTGGGTCTTCAAAAACGATGACATCAGACACGAGCATAGTATGTGCTTAGGAAGATATACTGTAGATTAACGGCAAGCACAAACAAATACACAACAGATGGCGGAGTATGTGGTAGTGTTGTTGCTCAAGTGTTTCCTAATGATTCATCAGCCAAGAGTGAATGTACTTCACATTCCAACAAACAGCAGAGACGCCTCTTACACACATGGCAAATTATACACACACACCAGTGCCGAGACTTCCTTACAGGTACAGTTTACTAACAAGGCGACGGTGAAAAATACTGCCCTGATGACACAAGACTGAGGAAACAACAGGTTTCAACAATGATCTTCCCATTTAGAGTTCTTTAAATTAAAGAATTCTTCCTTTAAAAAACTGAGAATCAGGATGACAAAGTCAGCACTGTAAATCATTTACATTACATTTAGTACTCTGCCATGTTTGGTCATAAGATATTTACATGACACAAGCAAACTTTTCCACTCATTTTAGCTAAGAAGTATGTTTATTTTTACCCCCATTAATCGCATGCCTGCTGTGTTACTAGCCACTGTTTTAAAGGCACAGTATGTAATATTCACCACTAGAGGGAGGATGTTCACAACAAACAGAGGCATAGTTTAATGATGGCGTGACTGGGTGTGGGATCTTGGTAGTTGTCATCTTCATTACATCCTACGAACAGACAGTCATGTCCTTGTATTAGCTGAAGCATTTAAAACTTAACTAAAGCTAAACTATTCAAAACGTTTTTTTTAAAAGAGCACACAACATATTAAAGTGTCTTTGGTGTTTCTCAGTTTTCTATAAAATCAGACCAGAACTCGAGGGTGCATGGCATCATTAACATAGTGACACAGCACACGGTTTATGTCAGTAGTTAAACTTTTCCTGAATTTGAACATACTTCAAACTGAGTATCCGCAGGGTCTTAAAAAGTCTTGAATCTCAAAAGCAAATTTTAAGGCCTTAAAAAGTCTTAAATCTACTGAAATGTTGTGTTGTAGGTCTTAAATCTTTTTAACAGGTCTTGATTTTTATTTGTTCATGTAAAACTGGCCATTAACACAAATGCAATCACCAACAATCCCAATCTCAATAAAACTTTTAACTTTTTATTTAAAACTAGCATTTAATTACTTTCTTCACAGTAACATTTGCTTAAGTTGTTCATTTATTTACTGCTGAGGATACTGACCTGACCGATATATTTTTTATTATTAAAGTATTATTATTTAGACCAGGGGTGTCAAACTCAATTCCTGGAGGGCCGAAGCCCTGCACAGTTTAGTTCCAACCCTGCTCCAACACACTTACCTGTAGGTTTCAAACAAGCCTGAAGGACACAATTAGTTTGATCAGGTGTGTTTAATTAGGGTTAGAACTAAACTGTGCAGAGCTGCGGCCCTTTTGGTTTGACACCTGTGATTTAGACTAAAGTAATTGGCAGCTATGTTTTTTCTATTCTTGGTAAGGGTTTTAGGTTTTGTGAATGATATATTTGAAAATTAACACAAAAAAAATCAAACTAAATTATTATTATTGTATTATTAAATGTATTAAAGTTTTAATCATTGTTGATAGGGCAAGTGAAAATCTTTTCTAACAGGGATATTTAAAAAAAATCCTTAAGATTTAGCCCTGTATGAGTCTAAAATTTCATTGATTGCTCTTGAAAATGTCCTAAAGTCTTAAATTTATCTTGGTGAAACCTGCAGAAACCCTGTTCAAAGCATTTGGGGTAATGTAAGTACATTAGTCAGCAAAATATAGAACACCATTCTAGTACTTTTTTGGATATTTTAATATAATTTTTTCCATATTGTACTTTTTAATCACCTTGTTTTGATTAGTGTTTACATAATGTAAGGTGTTATTCAAAATGTTTAATGCAAAGTGTGTGTTTTTTTTTTTTTTTTCCCTTTCACAATTCTTTATAAAAAGCCACTGAATAGCTTGGTTGTCAAATTTGTCAAGGGCAGCTAACATCTCAATTAGTATGGTTTACCACTCACTTGGCCAGTTATTTTGTCTAACTTTTTTCTTTCAAGAGTCGGTTCCTGTTTTTTTTTAAGAGTCAATTCCTGTTTATCTCCACTTTTTGCCCTACAGCAAAGAGCCAGACGCAAATCAAGGTTAACATTTTTCCACCCTCTCAGATGTCAAAGAGCCTCAACTCACTTCATCTGCATTTCTTCACTGTCTTGTTATGAGTTTTCCCAAAATAAAGCATTTGGTGTCATGCGTGATTAGATGGTTCGTCTGCCCGAACACATCTTCATGCTACTATCTGTTATCATGATGTGTGCTCCATCAGCCATTAAGTTGTCAGCCTCGTTCTGGAAGATCTACTGCCTTGTCAGGTCAAATATTCAGGAGGTTGTAATCTGCCAGTCTTGGTCTGTTGGTTTGAAGGAGTTATTCTGAAGTGAAATAAATCACGGATGTTTTCTCTCTGTGCAGATACGGCAGATGGGGTTTCTCAGGAACTGGTATCAGCTGGCTTGGTTGATGGGAAAGATTTAGTTATAGGTAATGATGTGGGTGTGTGTATGTGTGTTGTGTACAATAATTAAAAGAGATCAAAATTAACAACAATACAAAAGATTTTCATTTAAAATAAATTATATCTTTTTGAGCGTTGTATTTTTTATACATTTTAAAGTGTCTGTAAAATTAGAAATGCAATGTTGTAACACTGAAATTAAAGTGTTTTTTTTCAGCAAATTGTCAAATTAGAAAGATTTATGAAGGTGACAGTAAATTCTGCCTTCCCCTTATAAGAAATTCTACCAGAAACGTACATTATGTGTCCTTGAAATAAAAAGTACAGTGAATAAAAAGTATTTCATCCCTCCAAAAATGCTAAAATGGCTTAATTTCTGTTGTACTATTTAAGAATATGCACATATGCGTTAAATTTAACATAAAATGTGTGCACCTTTAAGGCTGTGACTCAGTGTAAAGTGACTTCATTTGACAGAGGAGTATTTGACATTGACTTAATTTGACAGTGATCAAGGATGCATTCTACCATTGTATTGTGTGATTTTATACTTGTTTTCGTATGATTTTTTGAGGAAGTCAAGCTTAAATGCCAGGCCCTGTCACATTTTTTTTATAAGTGAAAACGTGTGTTTCTGGTAGAATGTTCCTCATAATAATGTGATAAATGATAAAAAAAAATAAAATTTTGTGGTAGTCAGCAATGAGTTTGTTTGAGCTGAACATCAGAAATACATGTATTTGTAAATGTTAAAATATATAGATTTAATAATAAGATTGAGATAGTAGTTTTTATTTATAGTTTGCATTTGTTTATATACAGTTGAAGTCAAGAATTATTAGCCCCTTCAAATTTTGTTCTTCTTTTTTTTTTTAAATATTTACCAAATGATGTTTAACAGAGCATAGAAATTTTCACAGTATGACTGATAATATTTTTCTTCTGGAAAAAGTCTTATTTGTTTTATTTTGCCTAGAATAGAAGCAGTTTATAATGTTTTTAACGGCATTTTAAGGACAAAATTATTAGCCCCTTTAAGCTATATTTTCTTGTTATACAATAACTTGCCTAATTACCCTAACCTGACTAGTTGACCTAATTAACCTAGTTAAGCCTTTAAATGTCACTTTAAGCTGTATAGAAGCGTCCTGTAAAATATCTAGTAAAATAATATTTATCATGTCATCATGGCAAAGAGAAAATAAATCCATTATTAGAAATGAGTTATTAAAACTATTATATTTAGAAATGTGTTAAAAAAAATCTTTTCTCCATTAAACAGAAATTGGGGAAAAAATAAACAAGAGGTCTAATAATTCAGGGGGGCTATATATATATATATATATATATATATATATATATATATATATATATATATATATATATATATATAGTTTTTGTTGTGTTTTCTCATGCCTATTATTTATTTTGTATTAATTTATTTTCAGTTTGACGTTTTAAGCTAAAAGAATATGTTAAAACAATTAAGTAACTTCATATATTAAGTTTGTTTTCATTACAGGTAACAAAATTGGTTTTAGCTTTCAAAATTCAGTTTGAAGCCAAAGTAATTCTTCATCCTATTTCATTTCCTAATCCTAATGTTTTTATCCATTCAGTGGCTGCTAATCTGCAGAAGATAGTGGAAGAGCCTCATTCCAATAAAAATGTCACATTTAAACTGGTGAGTGTCGACGTCAGTTTAAAGTGTCAGTGTTTTCTGACTCTGTGTTATCTTGCAGTAACGCGTGTTCTGTGCTGCTTTTCAGGCTTCTGGAGTGGAGGGCTCAGAAATTCCGGATGACAACAAACTCTTGGGATTTGCTCAGCTCAGCATCAGCTAAACTTGAGCTCTGTGCGGGACCATGACTTGCCTACAAATGTGAAAACAAACCAACACTACCAACAAAACCACACATTGATATAGATTTTTCTCCTCTTTCAATTGCCCTAAAGAAACCACTGTTGCCAAAGAGAAAAAGCGCCAGCCCATAGGATTACAAATGGAGTTGCACAAAGAATTTGTAGGAATCCATTAAAATAAAGTTTACCGTTTCTTCGTACAAGGATGCAATTATCATAACCGGATATAACCTTAATATTCTTTTAATGCTTCTCTTTCTTTGTTTCTATGTTTGTCCTACTTTCTGAACTGATGCCCAAATAATGAAAGCTGTAAAAATGCCTCCATTATAACTACTGAGTGCTTATTAGGGAGTGAAACTCAAAGGGTTTATAGAGAAAATTAGGTATTGCTGCATCTATATCAGTTTTTAATTTAGTTTTTCTATGGCTTTAAAGAGCTAGCATGTTTTATCACACTGCTTGCATTATTTACTAAAGAGCTTATTCATCTTGAAATGATCGTTTAGAACAGGGGTGTCCAAACTCTGTCCTGGAGGGCCTGGAGGGAGGGTGTCCTGCATAGTTTAGCTTCAGCTTCCTTCAACACAGGTTCCTGGAAGTTTCTTGTATACCTAGTAAGAGGTTAATTAGCTGGTTCAGGTGTGTTTAATTGAAGTTGAAACTAAAATATGCAGGACACCGGCCCTCCAGGACCGAGTTTTGACACCCCTGATTTAGAATCATTTACTTATCACATGCTTTTCCAAACCCATGAGGCTTATTATACCTTTAAAGCAGAAATGAAGATAAAAATTTAGATTTGAGAGATTTTAATCCCTCCTTTGAAAGTCTGTTGAGCCTAAATGCTGTGTGTGTGTGTGTCTGTGTGTGTGTGTGTGTCTGTCTGTCTGTGTGTGTTAACCCAGATGAATTGAGTGGTTTAATGCAGGCTTTCTAAAGACACAATCAATTTGTGTGATGGACAGGTTTAGTTCAGGCTTCTATTTACATATAAACGTTTTTCACTATGAACTATGAGTTTGCAGTATTCATATTTGGTCCCGGTAGCTCATACTTGCTTGACATGTGAGCCAATGAGGTTTGTTCTTGCATGTCACATGGAATGGTTGAGCTTTCTCAAGAACCAATGAGGTTTGTTCTTGAATCATTTATGTTTCAGCTTATGCTTGATCAATATATACCTTTGTTTAAGTTAGGTCTATTCATATGAAGCAACCAATACTTGTATAAAACTGATTGATTCATATGGCTTTAATATATTTTTAAGGATTCTGAAGGGTCAGTTTACTCAAAAATGAAATCCTGTAATTAATTTATTCATCTTCAGAACACAGAATAAAACATTTTAGATGAATGTGAGAGCTCCCTCATTCTCCATAGACCGTAATGAACATGAGACGCTCAAAGTCCAGAAGAGGAAGTAAAAACATCAAATCATTCCATGTAGCTGCAGTGGTTCAACTATAATCATACAAAGCTTCGAGAACACTTTTGTGTGGCAAAATCTGTAAAAATGACTTTGTTCGGCAATGTCTTCTTCATCAGATCAAGCTTCTTGATTAGTACGGGCTATGCTAGTGTGTCATTTCGCCTAATGGGAAAATTACCATTTTCTGCACACAAAAGTCTTCCTGGAGCATCTTATGATTGCAGTTGGACCACTGAGGTCACATTGAATGATGACAAAGTTTTGTATTCATTTTCTGAACTTTGAACTTCTCAGGACCCTTGCTGTCAATGTAGTGTCAGAGAATTGATTAAGAATGAAAGTCTCTATGCATTGGAATGACGTGAGGGTGAGGGTGAGCAAATAACTTTTTTTGAGGGGTGAACTAACTCTTTAAAACATGTTTTGAATAAACACTTTCAATGGAGGGACAGAAATCTCTTATATGTTATTAAAAATATCCATTTGCATTTTGCAGATGAATGAAAGTCGACTAAGTAATGCCTGAATTTTTTTTTCTCCAAAAACAAACCATTTAAGCTACAGAATCTGGTTGAAATTTCAGTGATTACGCTTGTTTAGCTAAAAAAAAAAAAAAACATTTAGTAGTTTCTCGCCTTTCATTTCACGCTGGCAAGTGCACTTTATCACAGATTTCAAATGTAATGATGTGTTCAGTGTCATCAAGCCTCATCAAACACTCCTGAAGGCTGTTTTCATTAGACTTACTCGCTTTTCATTTTTTAACTGTCTCTCATTGTGGGCACATCTGCAAATATTGCTATCCCATGCTGCTCTAAAAGTTATTGCCTTAATGTTTCTACAAACATATCGCTCTATTTTTTAGATCTTGCATAAATTTGTGCATTTTGGTTTTAATATATGTGACTTCTGCTCATTTTTTGGAAAGTATCTCTGTCAGTGATTTTTCTTTTTTGAAAAGTTGAGGTACCCTTGGTGTTTAGCTCTTTCTGCTCTGGATTGGAACTCTTTCATGTGTATCTCTGAACTCGATTGAATGTGTAAATAATGTCATTTGCCATTGGTTTGATTTTATATGGGATGTTTCACTCATGGCCTTTGTGTTCTTTATAAATAAGGTGACGGGAGGAGGTGGCGTTCACTACTAAAGACACATTGTGAGTTTTGTTGATTTGTCTTTTTGCCTTTTATCACAGCGGGATCTTTGGTTTAAGTTTGGTTTTGTTTACTTCACTTTTAAACATCTTTGCTGCATGTTTGCAAAAACAGCCTGGAATACTCTTAAGCATCTTATAGCAGTATTTCATCTGACTTTATTATTATTATTATTTCATTTTGCAAATTTTCATATTTTATAAATAAATATTCAACTAATTATTAAATAATTTAAAAGCTTTTTCCTACTTTATTTTTTCCAGGTTTTTTGGGAATGAGCAAAAGAAATACAGTAGGAGTGATGTAAAGAAAGCTTTAATAACGCACAAGTCTTTTTTTCCATTTTCATTTCTTTGCAATCACAACACTGCTGTCCACGAAAAAATAGGAAACTGTTAATAAAGTTGCCTGCATTGGAGAGGCGAGTTTTGCTTTGAATAAGGACTTTTGGAAAGTGAAAGTATGATGCAGATCTGTGGTCAACGTTATTATATATAAGAACAACAATACATATTATTTTCATAAAATATATATATAATTTATAGTCACACTATAGGTCCTTGCCAAACTTCTTAAAGTGAAACAGTGTTGCAGTAGTCTTTCAGTTTACTGCAAGCAATAAAAATAAATAAATGAAAGCTAATTTTATTTTATTTTCCTGGTTTTGAATTTAAGGCATGTTTTCAGATGCCTTAAAATCAATAAAGAATTCATTTAAAAGGTGCTTAAAATGTCTCTTTTTTTTTAACTACAGTATATATTACTGTATTTACATGTTGTGATTACACAAAATCTAATAAAGATTTAAGTTTCTTTTTTTTCTTTTTTTTTTGGATTGTTACATTTAAAAAAGTAAAGCAATAAATTATTCAATATTATACGTGGACGGTGATTTACTGAAGTCATTCATTAAAATGTTGTTTTGTTTATATATAAAAATATTTAGCACAATAAACATTTGGTAAGATTATTTAAGCATCACTTCACAGCCCCAAAATACTAATTAATTGTAATTTTTAATGGATATATTTTGCCACCATGGATTCGCTTATGTAAAGCAGAATTATTTCCAATATAACACCGTTCATTATGATTACTAATAGGGCGACGCAGTGGCGCAGTAGGTAGTGCTGTCACCTCACAGCAAGAAGGTCGCTGGGTCGAGCCTCGGCCGGATCAGCTGGCGTTTCTGTGTGGAGTTTGCATGTTCTCCCTGCGTTTGCGTGGGTTTCCTTCAGATGCACCGGTTTCCCCCACAGTCCAAAGATATGCGGTAAAGTTATATTAATATATCGGTATATTAATTCGTTTTCAAATATCTGTTACGTTGAATGACAATGGGACATTATTGTTCTGATGTTTTGAGTTTTTAGTTTCACAAGAGTTATTTGAAACATTTGCATTAAATATTCTTGATTCAATATTCAACCAGAAGTTGATATTTAATAATCACTAATAGTTATCCATAATAATAGTAATAAACGTTTTTCAAACTATTGATATTCCTTTGCCCACATTTTTGTGTGTTTAAAACTCATTGTGAACCGTTTAGTAACTGAATCTAATCCTAATGTGCCTTTTTCCTATTTTCTTCTTTTTTTTGCTACATTTTTGTTTCTTGTTTTTCCAATTAGTCACGTAACTACAGTACATAGTATAAATATTGTGTTTGGCCTCGCAAACATCTTCATTACCACACTATTAAGACCGCCTTCATTGGCAAAAAAAGAAAGGCCTGTATTGGGTTCATCATTCACACACACACACACACACACACACAATGTAAATAAACACTGCAGACATTCCTCGTTACATTCAATCGTTAGAAACAGCCTCACTCCAAATACATACATTGGATAGGATGAAACATTGTGTAATATTCAAATAGAAAAATACTTTTATATTGTCCTTCCTGCAGTTTCTTTTAACGTTTTATCTTACCTGCTCGCCTGCGCAGATAATGCCAGACACTATTGGACCTGTGACAAGATTAAAAATTAATTTTCCTCCGTTTAAAAGCGCGCCGTCGCTTCTGATGGTCACCAGAAGATCATGATCGACTTCACGGAGATTCTCTCGGCCGTCGGCGAATTTGGGGCGTTTCAGAAGCGCTTGTTGGTGGCGGTGTGTATCCCTAACATTTTCAATGCCTTCCACATGTTCGGCCAGGTGTTCAGCGCCATCAGCTTCCCGCACTACTGCAACAGCGGATAGAAGTAAAGTTGGTTTTATATTCGCACATTCCGACCTCTGCGTTCAATAAGTTTGTAAATCAGCAAGTAAAGAATCCATATTCAATTATTTACCGTTGTAGTCGATTATGAGCAAAATGTACACCACACTTTTCTGTCAAACTCGGCGTTTTAAAGGAGTAGAAAAACACGCTTACCTCTATGAAGGAGGTGACGTCATCGCTTTTTTGAGGGACCGTCTACAAACTATCAGTTTGTAAAATCAAGCTGCTAACGTTCACTGTCTATAGTAAGCCTACTAAATCTTAATAAAATAATCTGCAAACAATATATCACAGACATGTTTATGTATACATTATATTAAAACAATTTAAAAACATAAAACTTTTAGAATAGACTTAGTAATTTAGAATAGTATATTAGTATAGAATAGTAATTTTATACACTGATTTTTGAGTTATGATTAATGTATATACACTTTACACAAGTATACATGTTCATGTGTAATATGAATAACTATATATGTTTTTTCCCCTCTTCTTTTTCCTAATTATTAACAGATTGTACGCAAGCAAAAGATGGCCAGATTGAGACTTGTGAACTTCACCACTGGCTCCCTCCTTTAAAATGTTACTCTGCTGAAGTACATGTGAATAAAAAAAATATTTTCAAGACAGCAAATAACAGTGTCATGAAATGAGTTCGGCTCATGTGGACGAAAAGAGTCCAAAATGAGAATCTATGCATTTGGGGATTTACAATGCTATTATTCACTTTGGAATGTTTTTTTTTTTACTTGCATGTACTTGCACAATATTTTTATACATAATTGCCACACATTACATAGTAATGTAATAAGTTGTACTTTCATTACATATTAAGTGAGATTCTTGCCAATGTTTGTTTCATGTCCCATGTGTCAATATAGAGCTGCAATAGGAAGACCAGCAGACCTTTTGTGATTTGTGTTTGTAATCAATGAAATTGCATGATAAAATGATGAAATAGGAGATGTAATGGATTTATTCTTAAATTATCATTGTGTATGAAGTGTGCTTTTTAAATAAACTTGTTTTGAAATGCAAGAAAAATACTATAAAAATATGCTTATAAATATTCTTATAAATTCATATACAAGATATGTTTATGAAAAGCTACTTGTGAGTGATAGATAATATAACTATTGATGTCTGATATTAATTTATTGATCCTACAATAATTGTAAAGCAAGATATTATGATATCTGCATTTACCATGAAAAAAACAAACTGGAAAATATGCTTACAATTATCAATATAATTTTTTTTTACAAAATATATTTATGAAAAGCTACTTGTGAGTCATAGATAATATTATTACTGATGGCTGGATTTAATTTTTTTATCCTACATTTATTTCACAACAAGATATTAAGATATTTAGATTCATGAAAAACACTACAGAAATTATGCTTATAAATATTAATATTAATTCATATCTAACATACATTTATTAAACGGTGCTTGTGAGTGATAGACAATAGTATTACTGATGTCCGATGTTCATTTGTTGACCCTACAATGATTGTGAAACAAGATATCAGGATGTTTACATTCACAATGAAACACACACTACAGAAATTATGTGCATAAATAAAGCATATTAATTAATGTACAGGATATATTTATGAAAAGGTCCTTGTGAGTTATAGATAATATTATTAACTATGTCTAATTTTAATTTGTTGCTCCTACAACATTTGGACATTAGGAAATTAAGATTTTTACATTTACAATGAAAAACACACACTACAGAAATTATGTGCACATAAAAATGAATATAAATTAATGCAAACCATATATTTATCAAAATGTGCTTGTGAGTGATAGATGATATAAATATTGATGCCTGATGTTTATTTGCTGACCCTACAATGATTTTGAAACAAGATATTTACATATTTACAATTATTAAAACACACTGCAGAAATTATGCACACAAATTTTAATATAAATGAATATACATTATATATTTATGAAAAGCTTCTTGTGAGTGATAGACAATATTACTGCTGATGTCTGATATTAGTTTGTTGACGCTACAATCATAGTGAAACAAGATATTAGGATATTTACATTTATGAAAAAACACACAACAGCAATTATGATCATATATATTAATGAATTTTTTTTATACCATATATTTCTCTAAAAGTACTTGTGAGTGATAGATAATATTATGACTGATGTCTGATATTAATTTCTTTATCCTACAATGATTTCACAACAAGATATTAAGACATCTGTGTTTACTATAAAAAACATATGCTGTGGAAAATATGCTTATAATTATCAACATAAATTTATTTACAACATATATTTATGAAAAGCTTCTTGTGAGTGATAGACAATATTACTGCTGATGTCTGATAATAGTTTGTTAATGCTACAATTATTGTGAAACAAGATATTTACATTAACACTGAAAAACACACTACAGTAAATATTCACACAAATATTTATATAATTTTTTTATGACATATATTTCTCAAAAGGTACTTGTGAGTGATAGATAATATTATTACTGATGTCTGATAGCAATTTGTTGATCCTACAATGATTGGACATTAAGAAGTTAAGTTATTTACATTCACTGTGAAAATCATACACTAAAAAAAATATGGTCGTAAATTTTCATTTAAATTATTTTACACCATATATTTCTCCACAAATTTCTGTAAGTTATAGACAATACTATTACTGATGTCTGATTTTAATTTGTTGATCCTACAATGATTGTAAAACAAGATATTAAGATATTTACATTCACTGAAAAAAATAAACTACTGCTATTATGATCACAAATAGTTATATAAATTCATTTACAACATATAAACATATATAAAAAGGTACTTGTAAGTGATAGACAATATGATAACCGATGGCTAATTTTAATTTGTTGATGCTACAATGATTGGACACTGTATGTGTTGTTCATTGTTTTAACTGTTTTGTTACATTGTAATTACAACTACAGGTTCATATTTTGCCAATTGTAGAAACATGTACTTGTGACTGATAGACAATATTATTACTGATGGCTGATTTTAATTTGTTGATCCTACAATGATTGGACAACGAGCTATTAACATTTAAATTCACTGTGAAAAACACACACTACAGAAATTATGTGCATAAATATTAATATTAGTTAATGTAGACCATATATTTCTCAAAAATTACTTGTGAGTGATAGACAATATTACTGCTGATGGCTGATTTTAATTTGTTAATCCTACAATGATTGTGGAACAAAATATTAAGATATCTGCGTTTACTATAAAAAACATATGCTGTGGAAAATATGCTTATAATTATCAATATAAATTTATTTGCATGATATATTTATGAAAAGCTTCTTGTGAGTGATAGACAATATTACTGCTGATGTCTGATAATAGTTTGTTGACACTACAATTATTGTGAAACAAGATATTAAGATATCAACGTTTACCATGAAAAATATGTACTGTAGAAAATATGCTTATAAATATTAATATAAATTTGTTTACAACATGTATTTGTATAAGGCTACTTGTGAGTGATAGGGGATATTATGACTGATGTCTGATGCTAATTTGTTGATGCTACAGTGATTGGGCAACAAGATATTAGGATATTTACATTCACTGTGATGAAACACACTACAGAAATTATGCTTATAAATATGAATATAAATTCATTTACAACATATAGATTTTAATTTGTTAATATAATGATTTGAAACAAACAAAAAAAAAACTCTAGAAAATATGCTTTAAAAGTTCACCATAATAATTGCTGTGCACATTAATAAAATAATTGATGTGAGTACAACATTAAAATGAAGACTCATGTGGGAAATAATTTTGCTTAAACTAATATATTTTAAAGTACTTTTTTACACCTGTAAATGTATAGAAGATTGATTATAGGCAAACTTAAATAATACAAGAAAAATATTGAATTAAATAAATATTATCAGTAAAACAATTGATGTCACCACAACATGAAGATTGATGTGGGAAAAATTGGTTAAATTACAATGTATAAAAAACATAATTTTATATTTTTAAATAAAAAGATTAAATACATGCAGTGGTTGTAAGCAAACTTAAAAAAAATACAAAATAATATTGAAAGAGATGTTATTAGTAAAAGAAATGATGAGTACACTAGAACATGTAGACAAATGCTGGAAAAATTATGCTAATAAAAAATATTTTTATTAAGTCATTCATTCATTTTCTTTTCAGCTTAGTTTTTATTAATCCGGGGTCGCCACAGCGGAATGAACCGCCAACTTATCCAGCAAGATTTTATGCAGCGGATGCCCTTCCAGCCGCAACCCATCTCTAGGAAACTATTTTATATATATTTAAAAAAAAAAACATTAATGACTTTGACTTTAGGCTAACATAAAAAGTGACAAAAATACTTATAATATTCTTAAAATAAGTTATATGAGTACAACAAAAATAAAGATTCATGCTTGAAATCAATACCACCATTACCACCACCATTGAAATATTATTTTACTATTGTGCACAACAATTATTAAGGTGGACTTTTAAAGCATATTTTCTATAGTGTTTTTTTTTATTGTAAAATATATTAATATCTTGTTTCAAAATCATTGTAGGATTAACAAATTAAAATCAGACATCAATAAGTATATTATCTATTACTCTCAAGTACATTTTCACAACTATATGTTGCAAATGAATTTATATTCATATTTATAAGCATAATTTCTGTAGTGTTTTTCATCACAGTGAATGTAAATATCTTAATATTTTGTTGCCCAATCACTGTAGCATCAACAATTGAACATCAAACATCAGTCATGATATCCCCTATCACTCACAAGTAGCCTTATATAAATACGTGTTGCAAACAATTTAATATTAATTTTTATAAGCATATTTTCTGCAGTACATATTTTTCATGGTAAACGTTGATATCTTAATATCTTGTTTCACAATTATTGTAGCATTAACAAACTATTATCAGACATCAGCAGTAATATTGTCTATCACTCACAAGAAGCTTTTCATAAATATATCATGTAAATAAATTTATATTGATAATTATAAGCATATTTTCCACAGCATATGTTTTTTTTATAGTAAACGCAGGTGTCTTAATATGTTGTTGTGAAATCATTGTAGGATAAAGAAATAAATATCAGACATCAGTCATAATATTATCTATCACTCAAGTAATTTTAGAGAAATATATGGTGTAAAAAATTCATTAATATGTATGATCATAATTGCTGTAGTGTGTCTTTTTCATAAATGTAAATATCTTAATATCTTGTTTGTAGCGTCAACAAACTATTATCAGACATCAGCAGTAATATTGTCTATCACTCACAAGAAGCTTTTCATAAATATATAATGTATATTCATTTATATTAAAATTTGTTTTCATAATTTCTGCAGTGTGTGTTTTTAATGATTGTAAATATGTTAATATCTTGTTTCAAAATCATTGTAGGGTCAGCAAATAAACATCAGGCATCAATAATTATATTGTCTATCACTAACAAGCACATTTTGATAAATATATGGTTTGCATTAATTTATATTCATTTTTATGTGCACATAATTTCTGTAGTGTTTTTTTCATTGTAAATGTAAAAATCTTAATTTCCTAATGTCCAAATGTTGTAGGAGCAACAAATTAAAATTAGACATAGTTAATAATATTATCTATAACTCACAAGGACCTTTTCATAAATATATCCTGTACATTAATTAATATGCTTTATTTATGCACATAATTTCTGTAGTGTGTGTTTCATTGTGAATGTAAACATCCTGATATCTTGTTTCACAATCATTGTAGGGTCAACAAATGAACATCGGACATCAGTAATACTATTGTCTATCACTCACAAGCACCGTTTAATAAATGTATGTTAGATATGAATTAATATTAATATTTATAAGCATAATTTCTGTAGTGTTTTTTATTAATCTAAATATCTTAATATCTTGTTGTGAAATAAATGAAGGATAAAAAAATTTAATCCAGCCATCAGTAATAATATTATCTATGACTCACAAGTAGCTTTTCATAAATATATTTTGTAAAAAAAAAAAAAACTATATTGATAATTATAAGCATTTTTTCCTCAGTTTTTTTTTCATGGTAAATGCAGATATCCTAATATCTTGCTTTACAATTAATGTAGGATCAATAAATTAATATCAGACATCAATAATTATATTATCTATCACTCACAAGTACATTTTCATAAATATATGTTGAGAAATAATTTATATTAATATTTGTTTGCATATTTTCTGTAGTGTTTTTCATTGTGGATGTAGATGTCTAAATTTCTTCAAGTCCAACCATTGTAGTGTCAACAAATTAATATTAGGCATCAGTAATAATATTGTGTATCACTCATAAGTAGCTTTTCATAAATATATCTTGTAAATAAATTTATATTGATAATTCTAATCATATTTTCTACAGTATGTTTTTCATGTTAAACACAGATATCGTAATATCTTGTTGTTCAATCATTTTAGGATTAACAAATTAATATCAGACATCAGTCATAATATCCCCTATCACTCACAAGCACTTTTTGAGAAAAATATGGTGTGAAATTTTTTATTAATATTTGTGAGCATAATTTCTGTAGTGTTTTTCATGAATGTAAATATCTTAATATTTTGTTGTGAAATAATTGCAGCATCAACAAATTAATGTCAGACATCTGTAATAATAATATCTATCACTCACAAGTAAGTTTGGAGAAATATATGTTCTACAATAGTTTATAGTAATATTTTAGAGCATAATTTCTGTAGTGTTTGTTTTTCATTGTGTATGTAAATGTGTAATTTTTTTTGTTGTCCAATCATTGTAGGATCAACAAATTATAATGATCATAATAAATGCACACTATTTATGATATAATGATAGTTTAATGTACAACAACATGTCATAAACAGAAAAAACAGAAATGACAGTGTTACAATATTTAGTTAAGACAATGGGTAAGACAGAGGTAAGGAAAACAGCAGGGCACAGGTTGCATGCATGTTCTGCAGGGTCCACAGATGTTGATGTGCACAGGCCATGATTTCAAAACCTATTTAAACAAATCAAATGACAAGGTTACATACAAATCAGAAACATAAAAAATTGTGTGTATGTATATATATATATATATATATATATATATATATATATATATATATATATATATATATATATATATATATATATATATATATAAAATTACATGAAATATATTAATCAATAAAAACATGTCATTGTAATGCAAAATGTAAGTGATGTGTACCGTTATAGTAGTTGGCTGAATTCCTTTTGTTCGTTTTTCAACAACCTGAGAACTTTTGACACGGTCCCTTTGTTGTTTTTCACGCGATATTGAATATTCGGTCTGAAATCGCATGTAAGTAACACTTCAAACAACACTAGCATGATTTCTTTGACCATGAACGCTGTTGTAGTTTGATAATAGTTGTCTGCTAGTGTGATTTCGCTATTTGGAATTTGCAAACAATAGTTTTCTAATATTTTATTAGGGGAGCGTAAGTGCGAATGTGCAAATATAAAACCAACTTTACTTCTATCAACAGCAGCTGGATCCTCCGACAGGCTCCAAACCTCACCGAGGAAAAGCAGCTGAACCTCACCGTCCCGCTGGACAGCAAAGGACAGTATGAGAGCTGTAGGATGTTCACACCTGTAGAGATGGATATTGAGGATATTGAACATTATGGAATAAACACAACTACATCTTGTATTGATGGATGGGTTTATAAGACACCGAAAAGCAGCAGCAGCACACTTATAACTGAGGTACTGCAAATTTTCTGTAATACACAAGGCAAGGGCTTTTTCATGTCTTTCAAATGCATTAAATCAGTGGTTCTCAATTCCGGTCCTTGGCATTTCCCCTAACGTTAACCCACACAAGGATCAGTTCATGGATTCCTCTGGTAACGAGTTGATGATCTGAGTCAGGTGTGTTGAGTTAGGAAGATGTACAAAATTTACAGGGCGGGGGAGCCCGAGGACCGTGTCCTGACATTTTATCCTAACAATCGAATTATGCTACAGTACCAACACTATATTTAAATGGTTCCGAGGTTAGGGTTGGGGATTAGTAGGTTAGGACGATATTACAGCTTCATATTACACTACTCCACATTAAAATTTACACTGGTAGGAAAATGTGATTACACTTTTTAAGAAATTACTACATTATTATATAACAATTATTCATTAACTTAGCCCTGTCAGTAAATTTGGGGTCAATGCAGGGGCGGATTTAGTGATTTGAGGCCCCTAAGCAATTTCAGAAGTCCTAAAATGCACCCTTCTACCTTTATTTCATTTTTTACTCATTTAGCTGTTTTTTATCACTCAAACTTCTTTTCAACATTTTATCTTAATTAATGCAATCTCTACTTTTTAAATGAATAATTTAGAAATTTGACTGCTGGACTGCTCCATGATTGGGGCCAAATTTGTGCTAAATTTTATTTTATAATAATATTATTACATAAAATTACATTATTGTATCAATATTACATTTAATGTTATATTAAATAATATTTAAGTCTAACATTTAATTTGTTTGACTCTCACCTAACAAAATATGATAAAAAAAAAACAGTATTATACATAGTTTATAGGTACAATTTTTACTTCTAGATATATAACCCCACAGCCCCTCCCCCCATTTTCCTGGGGCCCTAAGCGGCCGCTTACCATGCTTATTGTTTAGCTTAGTGTCACAAATTTGTTTCGGTACTCTAATAGACTTTGAATTTGATCATTTTACATTTTATTTTTAATAACATTTGTGATTTTTATATTGACTGCATGGGTATCCTGTAATATTCAGCATATTTAATGGTTTCTATTTTTTTCAATTTTTCAACATCTTATTGAGAGTTACATTTTTTATTATATTTTTTATCAAGCACTAAATATTTTTCAATGTCCTATCATTATCAATTTTATTTTCATTCATTTTAAAACAAGGAAAACAATTGCATAGGTATTCATTAAAATTAAGTTCCCCTTCAGTTGTTCATTACGATTTATTTCATTAACAACACATTGGCTATTCTCTTAGAAGACTAAATGTGTCCTCCAGGGGTGAGAGTGCACTCAACAAGGAGTGTACATCTGTTAAGCTGTGAGCTGAATGACACCTAACACATATGCAAGATGCTGAAGTCTTTGATTGGAATTGTTTCGGAAATTGGCTTTTTGCTCTGTAAGTACGTACACTGGTGAACCCTAAATATTTCTTCCATTGCCCTGAACACTTAACTTGGTAGAGGAGCCAGGTCCATTACCCAGTCTGGTAAGCCCACTTGGTCCACCTATGTCCTAGAAATCGATGCCTGCTATGTGTGATCTCCATTCAGTGATCCCATATGTATTAGACAGCCAAGGTGAGTTTCCATCATACTGTAGATGAACCAGTGTCTTTCATGTGAACTAACCTTCTTACTCATACAGTAAGTGGTGCTCCACCTGGATAGGGCTAACCTATATGCACATATTAGCCCCTTTCACACAGTGATACCGGTAAATATCCGGAAAATTTACGGAACGACTTTACCGGTATATACAAAAAAGCGCTGTTCACACAGGCGAGGACGTTACGGAAATTTTCCGGAAAAGAGCATTCACACATCCATTCCAAAATACCGGTAAATTCTGACATCATTCACCACCAATGAGCTTTAAACGGCTGCGCTTGTATTTGTAAACATTTGACTAAATTACAGACTCTTTTGATGATCAATATTGTAAACAACTTTCACAGGATCATATTCGCATGTCGAGATGTTCATAATATGTGCGTCTGTAGGCGCTCACAGGCTGTTTCATGGGCACACGCAAAGCTTGAAGGTAAACAAACAACGGCTTATCATAAGCATCTTATCGATGATTATTTGCACAGTTGGCATTAAGGAGAACATATAAACGTGATCTGACTAACTTCTAGCAGCTAAATGCGTCTGGAAAAATATTCAAAGGCTTTTATTCTCACAAACCGCGCGGACGTAAATGCGTCTGACTGTTGTGATTGGCTAAAGCAGAAGTCTTACGTCAGCGCGTTCTAGACGTGCACACGCTTATTCCGGAAATATTCCTTCTGCGTTCACACAGCGCAGCATTCCGGCAAATTGCCGGTAATGTTACAACTTCTCTTTCCGGAAAATAGCCAGAACGAATTTACCGGTATTTTCAAAAAGGGCCTGTTCACACATACAACCTTTCCGGAAAATTGCCGGTAATTTTCCGGAAAGGTCTGTATGTGTGAAAGGGGCTACTGTCACTAGGTCTCCCGTTTGGGTAGCAAATGACCACTGCAGAGTCCCTTCCCTTAAGGAATGGAACATTCTGCTATATTTCTGCTGCTGTATACACACTAGGCATACATCTCCCCAACACAAATTCAGCTGCTATGGCACTTTACACACATTTACCCATTTTGACATTGACCTAGTGACTGACTGAAGTCACAAGTTAGTGCATTTAGATCACTTGTCAGACTTTCGCATTAGAGCACTGGTTACTTTTTGGATTCTGTCATCTCCTGGGTGAGATGGTACATTATGTGGCAGTGTTTGGGTCTTCTGTCTGTCCCTTGGTGCTTTATTGAGTGATTCCACTGTAAATTCTTAATTTCTCTGAGCAAAACAACCATTTTGCAAAATTACCTGCATTGTCAAATTTCATTGTCTGACTCACACAGATGCTGTGCAAAGTCAGGAAGGTCGAGCAACAGTTCTTGCAAGTTGCAGCACTCAGCCCATTCAGACCTGGTTCCCAGAACTAGCTTGCACCCTCTCTAATGAATTTATCTGGAACCTTATTCTCAGAGAAGGGCACCATCTGGCAACTGCATCTAGACCTTTGGGACCATGTGTGGGTTCTAGACAGGACACAGAAGCCCTAAGTGACCTTACATCCACTAGTAATTGACACTGTTGCTCCCTTTCAAAGGTATCTATACCCTGAAGTGGAGTGTTGTCATTCACCCCTGCACTTGCCTAAACAGTGTTTTCCAGTGCTTTCCTTCCTCCAGCAAATGTGGGAACAGAGAATGTCACTCTCCACACTGGATGTTAATGGATGGAGATTGAAATCATCATCTCAAAATATTTGCGGGTCAACATTGGTTAACATCCAAGCGAGCAGTTTCTTTTCCTCTGAATGTGAACCCTTGTAAGATTTTTTTTCTCCTGTTGCGTTCAACAAACTACCAAATGACCAGAGAAGGGTCTCATGACCTTAAGGTTAACTTCACATCTTTCTCCAAATTTCAGGAGGTAAAATATTGACCCTCAAGCATGACCAAATTACCAGAGGAGGGACTCATGACCTTAAGGTTAACTTTGGTCATGAGAGGTAGAATATTGACGCTATTATAATCTTGCTGACTCAACAAAAAACCTTAAATTTGGGCTTTGCAATCAGAAATAATGTGCATCTAGTTGAGAAAGAGAGAGAGAGAGTGGACCTGATCAAATCACTCTTCTATATTACCTAATAGACCGACCCAAATTTTGACTATAAAGGTGCAAGTTTCTTGCTGATACATTGGATGCTCAGTCGTGGGATTAGTGCACATCGCCCACCATTCTCAGACTTGTTCCAATGTGACTGCAATGTGCTCCCCAGTCTTTGAAGAGGAAAATGATAGCAAGATTGTGGGTGCCCCACATCAGTGCTGACCTGTCTAAATAATTCAACAGGAAATTACTACTTGCTGTTCGGATTATGGTATATGAAACCACTTCAGTGCATAGAGCACCTTCACACATAGGGTTTACATTACCTTACTGTGCTGCTGTGCAGTCAGTCCCTGGATGGACCTTGATTCTACGAGCCAGAACATGTCTAATGCCTGGAACTGTTGGCAGTGTTTACCACTCTGCGCACTGGTGATGGTGTGGAGAGACCCCCCACTTCATAATTTTGTAGCAAATTGGGTGTATGGCCATACACTTAAAATTCGCTATATACAGTAAATAAACATTACATTCCATTACTCGACATATGTTCTGGCCGTGGTTGGCGGGTGAAACACATGCTGTCAGGATAAACAACATGGCTACAGGTGCATACATTTTGTGTGCTCCCTTCCCATAACACAGCTCGCTCCCTGTCTGATCATATGGAGTAATGTGCTGCAAAACTGCTGAGCTCAACTGTGCGGGCTGTCACTGGATGGCAGGACAATCGGATGGCATGGTTTGTCTTGAATCGTGCTTAGGTGCGAATGTCCCCCCACTCTCTCCCCCCAGGCCTGCACTCATACTGTCTTTTTTACCTTCCGAACCTGAACACGTCATCAATGTTGTGACTGTTCAGTTTAACAGAAGAGAAGCACTCTCACTCCGTCAATGGAGATTACTTTAGTTGTATTGTTTTATATCATTTTAAGTCATTTGACTTAATGCAATAACACGCAGTCAAATCTTTTGCTCAACAGATCCACCACTTTTGATGCTCATAAATGTTAATGTAAGTCATCATGCAGTCATCAAAGCGGGGGGTTTGCTAGTGACATTGAGTGTTCAGTTTTGCACTTAGGCATGCTTTGCACTCACACTACAAGCGTACGGCACCAAGGCCCAACTGAACCGCACTCTGGTATGTGTCTTCCAACCAGGCCAGGGCCAGTCAACTAAACCGTGCCTGGGCCTGACTCTGAGCACTCACATTTGTCAAACGAACCAGGGAATGGGCATCAAATGTGCCTGGGGATGGTTTGGATAGCCTAGTGTGAGGAGACCCTAAGTGACTTACTGAAAGTGTCGGTAACATATGTTACCTTTGATCAACGAGGGAAAGAATGAAAACGTTGCATCTCTTCAACAACAAATGAAAACTGCCATCTGATTGCCAGACTGTGGCTTGGCTCCTCAGTGATAACCTGAAGAATGAACTGTATGCTGTGACATTCAGAGCGCTGTCACTCCTGCCTCATTTTGTTTAGTTGAATCACTCCAGAGTTCATTTTCCCATTTGGTGCAATTTGTTTGGCCAGGTTTGAAAGCAGCAATTGCACTGTAGTGTGCACAGAAAAAGGACTAAACAACCATACAAAGTAGTTCCTGTATGCTTTTAAACAAACCCTGGATTGATTTGTTTGTGGTAAGAACATGATTCAAAGTAGAACAGACTCAACTGCAAAAATTACTGTGTAACATTAGGCTAAACCAGCTGCTATAGTCAGCTGTTCTGTGTATTAGGGCCTACTCACACTATGCTATCCGTATCGTGCCCAGGCCCGTTTCCCGGATCGTTTGAGAAGTGTGAGTGCGCTGAATCAGGCTCAAGCACGGTTCACTTGGCTGGCCCTGGCCCGGTTGGAAGAGGTGGTCCTGAGCTCGGTTCACTTGGGCTTTGGCGTGGTACATTTGTAGTGTGAGTGCAAAACGTGCACGATATAACTAGAGAAATCTCCTCTGTGCTGATTGAGAGAGAGAGCGCTTCTCACTGAACAGCGCAGCAGCGATGACGTAAGCGTGCCCAGGCCCGATTGTGGTGTGAGTGCGGGCCATGAGGGGACATGGGAGGGGGGACAAGCGTGCTTTGACCCGGTTTGAGGCAACTGTACCTAGTGTGAGTACGGCCTTATAGAATGCGGGAAATATTTACAGTTTTAGTAACAGCTCTATGATAGCTTAAAAATAACTTCTAAAGCAACTTGTGATATGTCATTTGCCATTAATTCTGACCGTTCAAAAACCACTTAATTGCATTAAATGACACATCTGTCCCACTAGTGATGTGAATGTTGTCACAGGACTGCATTCTGGTTGGTTTCTACTGGTTTGGTTATTTGTTGCTCTTGGTCCAAACCAAATGAACCGAACCACAGGTGTGAAAGCACTCTTAAATGCGTTCATGTTGGGAAGTAGCCCTGCATGCAGATTGTACTTGCCAATCTAAAGGCCCGTGCACACTGAGACGTTTTTTTGCTCATGTTTTTCATTAACGTTTAACACCTCTTAACTATATAAAGGGTGTCAATGTGTTTGTGCACACCAACACACCACGCGCTAAAGCGTCATTTAAAAAAAAAATGCCTCATGCTAATTTTTTTTATTTGATGCGCCACGTTAAAACCTTCTCCTCCAATCAGATTGCCACTTTGGTTCACAAGCACAGACCTGCTGAAGTTACAGTAAACAGCACTTGGAGGTGCTCAAGGGCAAAACTGTCAATTCGAGCGCACATTGAAGAAGATGCCCAGAGGCGAAATGAACGTGGAGCTGCTTATTGCTCTGCTGAACTATAATCATTTCTTCATCGTGCTGGAGCTGCTGCTTGAACCATCTATGCTTGTTTGAGTCACCAGTAACTTTAACAACAAGCGTGTGAACTTCCTCTCTTCCTCTTCTTCTGTGTTACAAGCGGGTATCGAAAGCTTAAAGTTGTGTTGCAACATCTAATGTCAAAGAGTGTTTTTGCAAACTCTTCTGCTTGACGCCAGTAAAAATCGCTTGGGTTTGAATGTTTTTAAAAATGTCTCATAAAACGCTGACAATAAACGTACATGAAAAGCATTCCTGTGTGTAGGAGCTTTAAATTGCCTCTTTTTCATGAAACTTAGAGTGATTGTCTTCTAAGTGGAATCCCTCATTTATCAGTCGTAAATGACACATTGCTTCTATTGCTTTCTTCAGGCCACAATGTTTATGTACATAATCAAGTTTTTTTTCACACATATAAAGAAAATAAATGTTGCCAAAGGTGGATTAAATCATTTTCATCATCATAAGATTTTTAAGATTATTTTTCAGGTTATTTTAACCGTGTCAAAAGCTAATAGCTAAAAGCTTATAACAAGTTTACTGAAAGCTCAATTGTGACAAATCACCCCACATACCCTATATATTTTTTATCAAATATGAATATAAGGGTTTTTATTTTTTTTACAGTATTGTTTGTTATGTTACCAATGTTTGTTTTACTGTTTGCTAATTGTTGAAATATAGTTTATATGCTAACAAAATATCTTATCAATATTATTTTCATTGTTTGTTTGCTGTCTGTTATTGTATCATGTTTTCTTTTCTCATCTCACCTTAGTTTGACCTGGTGTGTGAAAATAAGGTTTATAGTGAGGCCTCTCAGTCCATCTACATGGCTGGTCTTCTTGTTGGAGCCCTATTGTTTGGTCCAATGGCAGACAAGTACGTGTAGAACTCAATCCCTGAACAACACAAGAATGACATTATACACACAATTATCATTAGCATTTTTTCTTTCAGCAAAGTTTACAGATTAAACAGTTTGTATTTAATCCCCATCAGTGTAAAATGGCTAATGTTTCGTGTCAAATTAGTTCTTTTCATAATTGAACTGGTTTACTTGTTTGTTTTGCCACAGGTATGGCCGGCGGTTTGCCACACTGCTGTCCTTGCTCCTGCTGTTTTTGTCTGGAGTGGGAGTTGCATTTTCCCCTAACATCTATGTCTACATGGTCCTTCGTTTTGTTGTTGGCACCACAATATCTGGGATCTCTATCAACACATTTGTTCTGGGTATTGCCTTTGACTCTTTTCAATGCCAGCACATATCTGAGATGTATATATTTAAACAAGAAAGAGAAAAAATTTAAAAAGAGTGTTTATGTATTTAATTCTCTTAAATATAACCATATTTTAAAGATGTTTTATGGTGCTTTGATTCAATAATTTTAAATAGTTATTTGATATCCACACTGTAGATATGTGGCTTAGGTTCCAAAAGTAATGGGTTAATATGCTAAATTAATATGCTAACTCCAAATTATACCCATAAAGTTAGAATTAATAATCATATTTTTAACATTTAAAATTCCAGACGACATTTAGAGGTTTTTGCATCTAATCTCTTCATTTCTGCTTAGTTTAGTTGTGGAAAAAATATAGGTCAAATTATAAGAAGATCTTATGCCTCTTTGGGGTGGCACTGAATACATTTATATTTTATATATCCTGCATTTTGCATCCTGACAAGCTGTAAACATATAACTGGTGGCAAACTACTGCATTCAGCATCCCTCCTTGTTGCTAAGTAAAGCATAGAAAACAAACTAAAGTAGTGCGGTCGAGATGCATGCCAATTACAGTACAAATTGTCCAGGTTATGTTTGCCTTACTCTGATGTCATGCTGTCACTTGCCAAAAACTCTTGCAATGTCGAGGCTGTGTTGGATTGAGCTGTCAGGCGCAGTTGATCTCTTAATGTGCTCACCAAAAAGCATGATTGGAAATAAATTGCTGACTACACATGCTTATTAAATGAGACTGGCAAATTATACATTTTCTCTTAATTCATAGACATTTATTACCTATGTCAGATTTGTATTACTTGGCACTTTTAATACCAAGTCTTTTGGAATATTGCAGTATTTATTAAGAAAAGTTTATACACAGACATACATGTAGGCTACTGTATATGCATATGGGCAGTATTTATGATGCATGAGTTCAAATACATATTTCTAATTTACAATTCATATTTTGCAATTGAAAACTACGTAATAGTTAAGATTGCATCATACATAGGGATTTTTACTCAAATTTATGTGCAAAAAAAACTCCATATGCAGTTGAAGTCCGAATTATTAGCTCCCCTGAATTATTAGGCCGCTTGTTTTTCCCCCCCTATTTCTGTTTAACAAGAGATTTTTTTCAACACATTTCTAAACATAATAGTTTTAATAACTCATTTCTAATAATGCATTTATTTTATCTTTGCCATGATGACAGTAAATAATATTTGACTAGATATTTTTCAAGACACTTCTATACAGCTTAAAGTGACATTTAAAGGCTTAACTAAGTTGATTGGTTAACTAGGCAGGTCAGGGTAATTAGGCAAGTTATTGTATAGCAGTGGTTTGTTCTGAAGATGATTGAGAAAAAATATAGCTTAAAGGGGCTAATCATTTTGTCTCTAAAATGGTGTTAAAAACAGCTTTTATTCTAGCCGAAATAAAACAAATAAGACTTTCTCCAGAAGAAAAAATAATTTCCTTGCTCTGTTAATCATCATTTGGAAAATATTTTAAAAAGAAGAAAAAAAATTTGAAGAGGGCTAATAATTCTGACTTCAACTGTATATAACCCTTTATAAAGTTTAAGATTGTTAAGAGGTTGGTCCATTTTTTTATTTTTGATGATGATGCCATTTTTAATGCCTATAGAATGCATGGATACACAAACTTTAATTGCATTGGAATGTTTTGACTCATTATCTGCATTAAATAGGTTAAACAGTGGTAGATACAGTGGCAGTATTTTATTTAGATACATGCTGTGGCAGCTGTATTTTGTCGTTTATTTTTAGACTTAAATTAAGATATTTGGTTTATTAAAATGAAATATAAAATTAAATTATTTAAAAATAAATGTTTTACCCTGTATATATGTACAGTATGTAATTATAATTGATGTGCATTTTTCATTCACTTCATTGTTCTTCATCATTCTTTATTCCAGATAACCTGATTACCCATTTGCATCTTTTTTGTTCCCTTTAAAATTGCTTTTTGGTGTCAATCTGTCAATCACATGAGATTGGCAACATATGCAATGATGCAACAATCCAGTCAATTCTTCAGTGATGAAATAAAAAGGATAGTTCACAATTTTTCAAATTGAAAATGATGTCAAAATGTACTCACCTTTCATTGTTACAAACTGGTTCATCTTTCCTTCAAAACTGAAAACCTGTAATCATTGACTTCCATATATATATATTTCACTGGTAACACTTTACAATAAGGTTCATTAGTTAATGCATTTACTAACATGAACTAATCATGATAAAACATGTACAGCATTTATTAATCATATTGAACATTTACTAATGCATTTTTAACATTCAAGTCCATGCTTGTTAACATAAGTTAATGTACCATGAGTTAACATGAACTAACAATGAACAACTGTATTTTCATTAACTAACGTTTATTAACATTAATAAATACTGTAGTAAATCTATTGTTCATTGTTTGTTCATGTTAGTAAATGCATTACTTATCATTAACTAATGAAACTTATTGTAAATTGTGACCAATTCACTTTCGTCAAAAGATGTATTTAACAAACTAATGATACTCATAAGGATTTGTGACCATTTGTGGAGATTGAATGGTGAGTAAGCAATGCCTTTATTTTTGTGCCATTTTAATTTGATATAAATCACAATAGGAAAAAAATGCTATTTTAACTTACTTGTTTCATGCGGACTTGAATTTTTTGTATTTTATTCATGTTAATTGTATCACTGTAGGTACTGAGTGGTGTGGTTCAGCCAAACGGGCCCTTTTCACCATATTATCGCACTGCTTTATTGCCCTTGGTCAAATGTTGCTGTCTGGGGTGGCCTATGGGATTTGAAACTGGAGGGTTTTACAACTGGTTTTATCAGCGCCAGTTGGGCTTTTCTTTGTCTATTACTGGTGAGAGTATTCAGTTTTACCCAAATATGTCCATACCTAGTAATATATGATCACTTTATATTATTAATTTGTTCTTCTTTTTTCATATTTAAATTAAAGGGGACCTATTTTGACGAAGTCAGAAGTCTCTGATGTCCCTACACTCTCAGAAATAAATTTACTGGTACCTCAAAAGTATATATAAGTACCTACAAATTTTAAGAGGAACACTTTTGTATTTTTTAGGTACTAATATCTGCTATTGAGGTATTAATATGGACCTTTTAGGTACATATTTGTAGAGCTGCTCATTTCAATTCGATACCTCGTTGCATTGACGATGCTTTCAATACATAGTTTTAAATTTTCTTCACATCACAGCAATTTTTTGTATTAAAATGTTTTAATAGTATTGTTTAAATAGGTATATTTAATACTATTTGTAATTCAATTTTGTCCTTTAATACAAACAGTCAAATATATAAACTGTGCCTTAAAAGAACACGTACATTAATAGCAAATAAACAAATATAAACATCCCGCTCACTTTCTGAGCCTTGTCTACCAAGTTCTTACACCCCTTTGATTGGTCACACGGTCAACAGAAAGTGCTGCGATTGGCTCTTATGCGCTGCCGCTCTTCACAGATGAGTGACACTGATAAACGGCAGTGGCAATCATAGCTGATCCATGATAGACACGGTGGAGAAAACTCTGCTGACAATAGCTCGTGTCTGTATCAAGAAGTATCGCTGTAAAAGCCCAGAGGAGAGGAAAGGTAATGCTAGCTGGTAATTTTACACAGTGAGAGAGAGAAATGGAGTACTTTCATTCTCTCAATCACAGTGAAATAGGGGCTTCTGCTGTAAGTATCATGCAGTGAAGGACTGTCCAGCAAACACACACGCAGTGAAATTGTGCACAGCTTTTGCATTTTTAAGTAGTTGGAGTGTTGTAAATACCCCTGCTCGCCTCCCTCGCCATAGTAAGCTGTGGCGACATAGCATATATGAGATGAATGACGTCAGTACATAATAACCGGTTATGATTATTACTGAAACTATACTGTATTGTCCTCGTCTGTCACAGTGCACCGAAGAAACAATTAGGGCTCTATTTTGATGGTCCATGCGCAAAACGCAGGGCGCAAATGCTTTCAGGGTGTGTCAGGACACGTTTTTGCTAATTAAAGGACGGGAAATCTGCCTTGCGCTTTGGCGCATGGTCTAAAAGGGTTGAGTTTATTTTCTTAATGAGTTATAGGTGTGTTTTAAGAATAAACCAATTAGAGTCTCATCTCCCATTCCCTTTAAGAGTCAGCTGCATCGCGCCAAGAGTGCATTCGCTATTTACAGGACACAAAGTAAGTCTAAGTGGAAAAAATGTGCATTTCACAAGCAAACAGTTCACAGTTAACAGTTTTTTAACAGAAAACAGTTAAACAGAGCAACTACTGCGTGAGAATGAGAGATAATGGATCACTTTCGCTCTTGGATAGGGAAACCTTTACACACAGACATCAATTAGTCTATAAATAAATACTTTTGTTTGTTAAGCGCAAATATTCGTTTCTAAACTATTTCTAAATTCAGTTCTAATTTCCAGCAAACGAATAAATGAATAATACTAGCAAAATGTGCTCAAAAACCTGAGTTATATCCTAAAACACATGCTGTGCCCCATAAGGTCTAAAATCTGACAGGTGGGCAAATCTAAGCTTGTTTTTAATAAAACAAATATAAATATGGATATAATAAATAATACTGCTAATAATAATAACATTATACAAAAGCAAATTGTTATGAATGAACTGAAAAAGCCTCCCAAGATGAAGAAGACATAAAAGCAGTGGTTTTTCATATTTATGTAGGCTAGAAAATAATATGTTTTGTAATATTTTAATCCTTTATATTTATATTCTATATCTATTCTTATTATATCCTATATATATCCTTAATATTTAAAATTTTTCATATGTAAAGATATTTGCCTATTGCTCTCTTGTGCGTATTAAGCAGTGCGTAAGCGAGGCGCAACTCTGCGCCGGAGTTTAGACCGGGTTAGTTTTGGTCTAATGAAAAATCTTTCAAAATAGCAACGCGCCAGCGGTCCGCCTCAGAACGCCTCCTTTTTAGACCAGAACGTCTATGGGTGCAAAAATGAGCGCTAATGCATTTGCTATTTAAACAGCGTAGCGCAACGCCTCAAAACGACTCTTGCGCCAAGCTTAAACTATCAAAAGACTACTGCGCCACGCCTTGCGCTACACTGCGCCGGGTGTATGATAGCGCCCTTAGATTTGACACCCCTACAAATTTGTACCTTTTGAAAAGGTACCACTGCAGTGACAGCTCTTGTACTTTTATTTCTGAGAGTGTAGAGTGTGTATGTTTACAGTCAAAATACTCCACAAATAATGTCTTCTCACTGTTTAAAACTGCTCCTTTTAAGCTTTTGAAAAGAGGGCGGAGCTACAAATGTGACAGCATAGAGGCAGATTTAAAAACAAGATTAACTATCCCCTTTGATGATGTATACATTTTTATGAAGTGTGGTTATAAAAAAATAAAATGATACATTTTTTACCTTTAGAAGGTGCTTATATTCACAGAATGTTGCCACACAACTTTGTTTAAATCCCTTATAAAAGTGATTTTCGCATGATAGGTCACCTTTAATTAACAAAATAATGTTACAGCTCTCTGTTAATGCACTTGTGATAATGTGTTCTTGTGACTTGTGAGAAATATACAAACTATATATTACATTGTTTGGCAGGATTCTCCCTGAGTCTGCGAGATGGCTTCTGACTCAAGGCAAACTAGACAGTGCCAAGAAAGAGATCCTCAAAGCTGCCCGAATTAATGGCAGGAAGGTGTCTATAAATCTGCTTGACAAGGTGATTATTTTCTCTTTCACTATGTAAAGAACTGCAAATAAAAAAATATTTACTATTTAAAACACACTGGGCAAGATTTTCCAATAGCTTCTGTTTAAGCAAAAATTTAAAAAATTAAAAAATCCTTCCAGGAATTACTAATGGCATGCAATGAAAAAGTCAATAGTATCTGCATACAGACTGCGTATCTCAGACTTGCAATGTAAGACAAAATGCACTCAATGGAGCTAATGACATTACTGTGAGAGGTAGAGTTAGTGGTGGGGTTAGGTGTGCGCATTAAAAGCATTACATGCAGCTCTGCTTGCAGCTACACCAAGTCTGCATCCAGACCCCTCTCAAAAAAGTAGAAACAAAATGATATTAACAGCAGCTGACCACATTTGTTGAAGACTTTTAATAAATCATGTATCATGAGAATCAGAAAGAGCCTTATTGCCAAGTGTACTAGCACACACAAGGAATTTGTCTTAGGAGCTTCCAGTGCAGACAGTCCTTAAAGTACAAACAAGAGTGCAACAAAGTACATAGTGATCATAATAAGGATGCACTATGAAATGTAATTCACATTTTAAATTTGGATTTCATCTTCTAGTGATTCATAAACATTTTTATTCAATTTTCTTTTTTATTCAAGTCTTTTTTAGAAACATCATAATGAAATCATTCAAAAGCACCCAGATGGTGTAAAAAGGGTACATTGCAGAACAGCAATGGAAAGAAGATATATTTAAGGAATCCAGTCATTAGTGTAGTTTGGCAAATTCTGGATGCTGTACACCTAATCAAATATCATTTAGATTATTCAGTAAATATTAAACTGTGAGAAACAGATTAAATATGAAATGTGTCTGGGTGAATGAATGGCCCAGTTACAGATCAGCCCTAATCGGAATCTCCAGAACTGATCTGACAGTCACTTTATAATATTTTACCATTTTATGTGGAGAAAAGCTGTCATTGTATTTTGCACAGAAACATGTATTGAGTAATTAAGGAATGCTATTTTCACTTGTTTTTGATAGATTAAAGCTGCATAGGTTGCAGTCAGCTTAAAAGCACATTATACAAGATTTGTTTCTTTAAAATATAATAAAACCTCTGGAACAATAATGTATACTATGCTGACTCACTATATGTACTTACATTTTCCCAAATACTTTAATATTATCTAGTAACACTAGTTTTATAAAAAACAGAAAAACATCAAGGATTGCACAGATGTCCACTTCTGATGGGGCTGATAGTGGTCTTACACTAATTTGCTTAGTAAATCTGGTCCATGAAATTCAAAGTAGTTTTTTAATGTTGAGTTGACATCTGCATTATCAGATGGAAGCAGAGAACACAGCCAAATCAAGCACCATGATAGACCTGTTCCGAGTGGCTTACCTGAGAAAGAGAGCTCTCATCATGTGCTATATGTGGTAAGTTATGACAGGCTATCACAAATTTATTATAAATCTGGAAACCCTTATACATTTAAGAGTTTTATGAGGGTAGACCTCTAGTTTTGGATATTAAATGTCAGATACAACAGCACAAAAAACATTTTACCAAATAAACATCATTAAAATTACAACCAAACCGAGCTGAGAAAAACTGATAACAAAGAAGGCGAATGTCTTATCATGTGTTTATTTATGTTATCAAAGGTTTGTGACATCACTAGTTTACTATGGTGTCAGCTTGAATGTGGGGAACTTCGGCCTGGACATTTACCTGACTCAACTCATCTTTGGCATGGCAGAGTTTCCTGCACGGCTGTCCTGCTTTCCTCTCATTCAGCGCTTTGGACGGAGAATTTGCCAGAGTGTCTTTCTGCTACTTGGAGGCACAGCCTGCCTGATTATTCCTGCTATTCCAGCGAGTGAGAGATGTTACATTTTCTCTTAACTGTTTGTAAATAATAATGTCAATGTTTACATTTATTTTAATTTATATTGAATTTATTTATTAAATATATATAACTATAATTGTATACCGTAGCTCCAAATACAGTCAAAAAAAAGTTAGCACACCCTATGAAATTTAATTCTTTTATACGAGGACATATGTATTTATCTTATACTTGGCAGGTTATAAAATTGGGAAAATAAATCAGATTAATAACCGCATATTGCAAAAACAAAAATAAGTCAGGCACGTCTAATCAAATACTTTAACATCATCAGCAAATGTGGCAGTTTGTTGCACTGAAGTCTTCAGGTCTGTTAACACAATGCCCATCCCACAGCTAAAACCTCACCAAAATTGAGTAATGTAATGAGACAACAATCCTAAGCACACCAGCAAATCTACTGTACAACAGAACAGCTGGAAAAAGCAAGGTGCTGCAATAGTCCAAAATCCAGAACTCATCCTGACTGCAATTCTGTAGGGAGAGCTCTGCAAATAAACTCTAAAATAATCTGAGAACGCACGCTCGCCTCACAGCAAGAGCGCGGAGTTTGCATGTTCTTCCCGTGTTCGTGTAGGTTTTCTCCGGGTGCTCCGGTTTCCCCAACAAGTCCAAAGACATGTGGTACAGGGGAATTGGGTATGCTAAAATTGACCGAAGTGTATAATTGTGTGTGAATGAGTGTGTATGTTTCCTAGTAATAGGTTGCAGCTGAAAGGGCATGCGTTGCGTAAAACATATACTGGTTAAGTTGGCGGTTTATTCCGCTGTGGCGACCCCAGATTAATAAAGGGACTAAGTCAACAAAATAAATAAATGAATGAATCATCTGAGACTGATAAGGTTATATATAGAAAAGTATCACTTTAAAGGGCTCCAATGTTGGCAATTTAACCAGTGTTAATTTCACTAAAGAAAAAAAATTGTCATAATTTTCGTGACAAGTTTCTACCAAAAAAGTGATGATGACGACAACTATAATAAAAATATACTAACATTTTCATGACTGTTAAAAATAGACAAGAATGAGATTGAGGGATGCGATTGGAAATATTCAATAGACTGCCATTGCAAAGTGGATTATTTTAAGCCTTTCAAAGATTTAATTGCATGAATTTGTTCAATAAACTGGTTAAAAAGACTAGTATTTTACCACGTTAAAAAAAGGGCTCGCTAAATAATCGCAAAATCCTGCATTTTTAGTAGTCTACTGTTCTTGCCGACACATAATTTTGCATTTGACTTATGATATAAATAAATATTAAATTTTTAATACATTTTAATAAATATCAAATTTTTGGTCTTCAATAGAAATCTATTATATATATTTTGATAAGTTTGATAAGTAATTTAAGTTAGAATATTTTCTATAAATACATGTTTACAATATTTAATTAAATTACTCTTAAATTAAACCAAATATATTTTAATTAACTAAATCTAGAGTAAATTTATTTGAATAAAATATGACTAAAACTAAAATGGAATTTTAGTCGAAAGATCAAGACTAAAACTAAATCAAAATTTGCTGTCAAAATTAACTCTGACTCACAGTCACGGATACCGCATAAGATGAATGAGCCACATGCAAATGCTGTTACAATGTTCACTGTGCATACAAACACACTTACGTGTTTAACGTGTTGTGCTGTTTTTGCTCATCTTGTGACAGTATGGAGATCCATTATGCTCAAATAATCCTGATTAGCGTCCAATAACTGGTACTCTTGATGTATGTTTGAAGCCTCCTTATCCAGTGGTTATCAATTACTTAGCTCAAAAATATAGTTCAAATAGCTACAAAATATACCACTTTGTACTGCTTACTGCTTCTTTAGGAGCAAAAGATAGTTGGAACAAATCTTTTAATCCTAGTTTCTTTGCAAATCCTGTCATGTGGACATGTTTATACATGCCTGTCAATTAATTCAGTGGGCAGGGAAAACTGCACTGCGACGTCACATTGCAGTGGGCTTCAAAATCAATGTGGATCCTATTTTAATATCAGGGAATTTAAAAAAAGACACTTGTTGTGCTTATATCACTCCAATTTGACTATGGACACTATACCTTCACACAGTTCTGTCCAAACAGCTTCCAACATTGTTTTTGCACAACATCTGAAGGCATCTGAATCACATTGTGTCCTAAACCTTTATTTTTATTGAATAAATAATGTCACATTGTGAGATGTCATGTCATGTTGTTCATTTGAGGTTTGATCTTCCAAATTTGAAGACCTGCCAAGGACCGTATGTTCTGATACACAAACCGGGAAATTCAAAAGAGTGTCCAGACTTTTTCCATGTGACATTTGACATTTATATCCAGTGGAGATCAAAATTAGAGAATGATTTATAAATGCTTGCTTTTGAAATGATTTAATCTTCAATGTTCAATGTATGAAGGGATTTCAAATGTGGCTTTATTATCCACAGAACACTGTTTTACAAACTGATTAGGGAACTTGACCGAAAAATTAGAGAACAGCAATGACTAAAGCTTGAAGAAAGATTTGAAAAATTATGAAGGTTACAGTAGTCAAAAACAGGGATGTACTGTAGAACATCTGTGAAAACTGCCTTCAAAGAGTTTCAGTGACTTTAGTAAGACTGACCAACTTGCAAATTCACTGAAACCTGGAATGTTTGGCTGCCAGTTAAACATAGTTTGTCAGATTATTAATAAATTAACCACCACTCTAGCAGAATAACACTAATAACTAGAAATAAGTTAAAATGTTCTCTACTTTTGACCAATGTTTATATTTATATAGCTCAATTATTATTGTTTTTTATGCATGGTATATGTAACTCAATGAAAAAAGAAAGTATGTGGTCCTGTTAGCATGACCTAGACAAAGAAGAATTTTAGGTTGTTCGCTAACCTTGAACTGGCTTGTCATTTTTTAGATTAAAAGTTTTACGTTTGTCACCCAGTTTACAAAAAACTCTCACACTTCAAAATATTTGACATAAAATATACATAACATAAAATATTTGACTAATGGTAATGTCAATCTAAACCCTGAAGAAATGCATTCATCCTCAAAACACAAATCGTTTTTGTTTATAAAATATGTAACAGACTAAAATCTGAACTTTGAAAAGACTCAAAACAAAAATAAACAAGTATATATAAATAAATAAATAAATAAATAAATAAATAAATAAATACAAGTTCAAATCATTATTTAAATTGAGTTGTTTAATCCAAGTATTTTTTTAAAGACACTGTTATAACTATTCTTAATCAAAATGCCACATTAGTCTCATCTTTGGTCTATTAAGGCGTCTAGATGTTTCATTTGTTAAAATACCTTTACACCAAGTTGCATTTGTTGCTGTTTAATGTAAACTTAACTACAAAAAGGAACATAAAACTGATACAAAATTACCAAAATCAAACAACTTCAGCCACAAAAAACTATACAAACAAACAAACAAACAAACAAACAAACAAACAAACAAACAGAAGAAAAAACAGATGGTAATGTCTAAAAACCAACTCCTCCCAGCAGGCCACCAAGCTTAAATTACAGAGGGTGCACATCTTCAAAAAAATAAACTAAACATTATTAACAACATCAACCTTTCAAAAAAGTAAACACATGGCTCCTACAGACATGATAAATTAATATGATGAACATATTGAATTACTGCATTTATAAACATTGATCTGTAAATGCAAACAGATGACCATACTTACTGTACTTACTTCGTGTGAACAAATCATATGGGTACATATGGGCACATTGACACATACAAATGAACCTGATTAGTTCTCACACCTTAAACTATCATGACTGAGCTTCTATGACCTATTTTGAATGCTGTGAACTTAAGTGATCACTTTAAACACCGAAATTAAATATTTACATGATGTAAAGTGAGCACGTCTCATTGTCTCAACATCTCAATTCTTTCAAATTTGATTACAAAAAGTCTCCTTTAGTGTTTTGAAGATTGATAAATATCTTAAGGTTTGGATTGACATGAAAGTAAACAAAATATGACAATAATAATTTTGAGGTAAACAAACCCTTAAAATATTTTGTGGAAAGCTAACTGCAAGGTTGTTGATTTCTGTGTTTTTTTTTAAATTTCCTCCAGAATATCCTATAATTGTGACTGTAACCGCAGTGTTTGGGAAGTTTTCAATTTCTGCGGCCTTCTCCATTGTATACGTGTACACCGCTGAGCTCTACCCAACAGTTGTGAGGTGTGTAATTAACAACCTGCATGAACACTCACTATATTCAACTATGCAGTCTATATGAGCTCTCATTGATGAATGCATTAATACAGGCAGAATGGGGTGGGCCTGAACTCCATGTGTGCCCGTGTGGCTGGTATTCTGGCTCCTCTGATTGGCTTGTTGGACGTTTATCATCATGCCATTCCTATGATCATATACGGCTCGCTGCCTTTTGTTGGAGGAGCTCTGACCTTCCTGCTTCCAGAAACACTGAACACTGACCTGCAGGACCACACAGATATCCCTGCGGATGAGAGCATGTGCGTTTATACTGCTTATATTTCTTATATTAGTGGCTTTTCACTTATTAAGTGTGCAAGCTTGTTTCTGCCATGGGATAAAATAATCCAAAAGGTTATCAGAGTTTATATCTTACAATTCTGACTTCTTTTACAGTAAGTGGGGTAACATTTTTCAATAAGACTTGTCTTCTCAGATCTGTGGATTTTACTTAAAGTAACCTAAAGTTATAAACTTGATTTTTGACAATTATGAGTCAAACTCTTTCAACTAAGTGTGAGATCAAAATTCTAAGAAATGTCAGAAATCTGAGAGAAAAATCTAAACAAGTCAGAGGTAAACAAAATATTTTCAGGAATGAGGAAATAAAATATAGCAATCTCTTCTCAAATGAGTTTTTCAGACTTCTAGATTTGTGTGTCAGAGTTCGTCTCTTGCAGTTTTTTTTCTCCAAGTTTCCAAATTTGTCAATTCTGACATGTTTTTTCTTGCATTCAAAGAAATCTGAGTTTATCTCTTGCAATTCTGAATTTATAGCCATTCTAAATCTCACAGTTGTTTTGTTCATTATTTTAAGCTTATTTCGCATTTTCATTTTTTTAACTGCCCTCACGTTTCTCTATCCCAGGGGTGCCAACTTTTTCTTATAAAAGTCCAAAAACCAAACTTGAGTGAGGACAGTGGGCCAAAGACCAGTATAAACATTGCCATGGATCATTTCCTCAGTTCTTTCAAAATAAACAGAAGACATTACTTTAATCATATTAACTATATAACTAATGTATTAACTAATGTATTAACTTTCAACTAATGTATTGTAATATTAACTAATGTGTTTTATATTTTTTATATTTTATAATAATGAAAACAAGAATTCTATTTACAACACAATGGAGTTTATTGCTGAATACACTTGTAGATTTGCAACTGCCTTTGTCTTGATTTGCTTAACGGGGACTTCTGGTCCCCGGGAATTTTGGTCTATCCATCAAGCAACAGTATGTTAAAAAACAATCGGATTTATTTACAACATTTAATGCAAATACGCATTATTTGTAGCTTAACAATAAAACAAACAAACGAAGGTTTACAAACACATTAGAAATGACAATATGTAAAGACATTACCCCCAACCCTCCCCAACATTCTCAAATGAGATGGCGGGACAAATCAAAGGTTTCTCTGGGCCACCTTTGGGCATCTCTGCTCTAACCATTTAAAATCTGTTATCTCACATACAGACTTTTGCTGTACATTGTGATGAGTTTGAATTCGTTTCTTTATTTTTTACGTTTTGTCGTTTTAGTTTTGCTTTTGTTTTTTGAAAATTGTGAAAAGAAAATTCAGAATTACGAGTTATAAAAAGAATGGCAACAGTCACTTTTATTGTTCTTCATTCATTCATTCATTCATTCATTCATTCATTTAATCCTGTGGTGGAAACAGGCTTATATACATTACAACTTTTACAATAAATGATTAAGATTATTTTAATAAATTGTTTTCTTAATATTTCATTTTCAGGGGATTAAATAAAGCCAGCATTGAAAAAGGACTGAATAAGGAGCAAGGACTGGTTCTCAAGAGCACAAAATTTTGAGATTTGTACTGCTGTTTGAAACAATAGCTGTTTATGAAATTGATAGATTTTATAAATAAGTAAACTTGGTTTATTTATCAGGTTTACTTTTCTTGCTGCATCATGTTTGTAAAGTTTTAGTAATTTAAAATAAATTTGTACTTTTTTATCTTTTCAATGAAAGAAAGTAAACATCTGTGATATATTTATGATATATGAGTGTTTTTTCTTCAATACTTATAAAAACCAAACAATCAATAAAAGAATCCACTAGACAGCCCCAAAATTTGATAATTTATTAATAATTTTAGCAATTATTATAATGAAGAAACATAAAAAACGACACTGAATGTAAATCATGTAGAAAAGTAAAAATGGAGTGGGTGAGATGGGGTGGGGGTGTAAAATGTGGAGCTTTATCAAACAGCACAATGCCACAGATGTCATAAGCTTTGAGGGAGTGTGCATACTTGACATGCGTACAACAGGAATATCCACTAGAGTTGTTGCCCCTTGTAAATGTTTGCACCACAAGCTGTCTCCAAATGGGTTTTAGAGAATTTAGATTACTGTACATCCCACCGGCCTCATAACCGCAGACAACATGGAACCGCAGGATCTCCATATCCAATATCTTCACCTCCAAGACCATCTGAGACCAGCCGTGCAAACAGCTGTTGCAGCAATCTGGACAAACTGTCAGAAACCGTCTCATCTGCATGCTCTTCGTCCTCATGGGGGTCTCAATCTGACTGCAGTTCATAATTGACTCACGTTTGATGGCGTCTGTCAATTTTGAAAGGTGTTCTCTTTAATACAGATTAATTTTCACTGTACAGGGCAGATGGCAGACAGTGTATGTGATGTTGTGTGGGTGAGCTGTTTGCTGATGTCAGCATTGTGAATTGAGTGGTCCATGGTAGCGGTACGATAATTGTATGGACAAGCATATGTTATAGACGACAAACACAGCTGCATGTTATTGATGGCGTTTTAAAAGCACAGAGATGCCATTCATCCACAAATATCACCTCATGTTGCTGCATGGCAGTGTTCCAAGGATCTGTACACAATTTCTGGAAGCTTAAGTACATTAAAACTTGTCTGCTCTTGAACAGACTAACCGAGGACAGGAGTTTCACCAAAGTCCCTTTCAAGGAAAGTCTGTTTAGTCTGCGACCATATTTGCAATACCTTTGGGCAGTTCATCCAAGACCAAAGTCCTGTCTAAATGAATGGGTGAATCCTGAAATCTCAGAAACTGCTTGCTGAACTTACAACTGCATTCACTATTTAAAATAAGAAACAAATGAAGTGATCTGTCCCATTATTGCATACTGCATGTACACATATACTTTATATTAAGAGCTCAGGTGCAAAAACCTCTAAATCCATCGGTCCTCTTTTCTTGTAAATAAGCATTTTCTATCAGGCTCCTCTGATAAGGTTCAGAAGTTTTTATTTTATTTTATATGTAATGAAAAGGTTATTAGCTAGTAAATAAAATACTTTTTTTTTTTTTTAATGACACTCTAGACAATTCTTTGTTTTTTAACAAGGTAAATTTTCTTTTGCATCAAAACCAGCTAAATCAACTTCTGCTTTTTATGCAAATCCCTCTAAAGCCACCTATTAGAACAAGGCAGTGTAATTAGTTGAAAATGAAAATGCCATTAGAAATTATTTTACCAAACATAAAACACATTACACAAACCACCTGAAATATAAAATATATACATCTGTCAAGTAAGTAACGGTTCATTTCGCTGTGATAAACCAGGGAAAAAGCAGAAGGCAAATCTGACAATCTGATGTCATTTCTGATATTTAGAATTTTGATTTAATGTAAGTAGAACAATGTAAATATTGCAAACATTGTAAACTAAGCTTGGTGTATTCAAATAATGTTGTGTAAAAACTAGGGATTTCAAATAATGAAAAAAAATTTACGTAATTAATCACACTTTTATTGTAATTAATCATGATTAATCATGAAACGCCATATTTATTACAGAAATAAAAACACATTTAAGTGCCACTTGAATTTCAAAACAATTAATGCCAATAACAAACAAAAATGATTTCCATGTAGGATTCTAAGTGGACTACAAACGCACACACACACACACACACACACACACACACACACACACACACACACACACACACACACACACACACACACACACACACACACACACACACACACACACACACACACACGAACACGAGGGATCCCTTCAGATTCATGAACACACATGATTGCGTTTAGCAAATTTGCTTAAACTAAGCGTTCTAAAGAATGGCTGTATTTTACAAGCAAGGATTTTGACACAGCAACGTGAAGCAGATGCTTTACAAAAGTTGCGTGTAGGGGGAAAACACGTCAATCTTATGAAATGTGAGGGCTCATGGAAGTAGCTTAAGGCAGAGAATAGGGCTTTGACTGTCTTTGACACCTTGCGACTTCATCTGCCACTTTCACTACAGTACACTTAAATGGACACCAACACTCCGCTTTTATGATTAGGATAATTATGAGTCTACTAAGCAGCAAATTTTGATTATCTTAAAGGATCACGCGGGTCCCGAAATGTGGAAGCTTTTCTTTCCATTCACCATGCAGTATCCTGAATGAAAATATGTTGAATGAGCGTGAACTGCTGAACAGCAGTTAAAGTCTAAAGATCCGAATTTTTATACTAAAACTTTCCTTCTAAGAGCGCGTCCTTGGTCTTATCCAAATTTCTTTGCACGTTAAACACATGCAGGGCCGGAGCAAGCTGAACTAACGCTCTAGGCAAACGGCAGTCGCGCCCCCTCAACCCGAAAGTGACTGGTTTGCGAATTAAAGTAAGGACCTTGAGGGAGGGGGTGGTATAGCGAATGAAAATGAAGACCGGGGGGTTCGCTCACTATTCTGCTGCCCAAGGCAGCCACCTAGGTCGCCTTTATGCATGCCCTGAACACACGTCGCCCACAAAAGCAAATAAAAGAAAAACTGCAACTGCGTTATTTGCAATATTTTTTTACGCGTTGAATATTTAAAATTAATCACGTTAGTTAACACGCTAATTTTGACAGCCCTAGTAAAAACATAATTAACATCAATATCTGTGCATTGTCCATTAATATAAAAAGCTTATCAGATGTATAGGCATTATGAAGTAATATAAATTATGTATAGTTTTACACATTATATTTATCTTTTAAAAAATAGCTTACATTAACAAATAAAACAATGTAGGCCTACTGGACAAAAAGAAGATATCATTCATTCATTCTCACCATACTTAAGGTCATGGTCCCGTGTTTATCATCATAGCATCCACATGGGATAAAAGAACATCTTTAGTGAAATGGAGTTGCTGTTTATTTTATAGTAAATCAGATTTATTCAAAGTAGCATCGCTGCTCAAAAACACGTCATGAATGCATATTACACTTCCGACTGCACATTGTGTTTTCTTTTTCTTATAATGCAGAGAGTTTTGAAATAAGAGACGTTTTCATTTGTCATTCACTGACAGTTGGAGAGGCTCATCTAGTTCATGTCAGTCAGTCTTTTAAAAATTGAAATCGTAAGCCGAATATGTCTCCTCATAATAGCCGGCTTATCAGCGCGCTGCTACATTGAAAACATATGATTCGATTTGTGTTTCTGATTGGTTCTCAGGATTTAAGGACTTTTGCTGTCAAAGACAGGTGGAGTTTAGTGGCTTTTGCCAACAAACTGTTATTTCTGAATGCGCTGACACTGGGATTTGGGTGATTTGCAACAAATCTATTTGTTGATGGTGTAGTACGTGCCTAAAACATTCACTCATTGTCATTAGCTTATTTTTGGCGGAAGTGGCGTTTAGTGGCTTTTGCTTCTGAACTCTTCATAAGTACAAAACTCCTGGAAGCTAAAAACTTCTCAGTTCCTGCATGGCTAGCATATTCATCAGACATATCCGCCATTGAGCATGTTTGGAATGCTCTGTATCCATGTATACAGCATACTGTATATGGCAGCGTGTTCCAGTTCTTGCCAATATCCAGCAACTATACATCCTAAGCCATTAAAGAGGAGTGGACAGACTTTCCACAGTCCAACAACCTTCCATACATCAACAACTGGACTGACTCTATGCGAAGGAGATGCGTTGCACAGAATGAGGTCACACCAGACACTGACTGGTTTTCCAATACTTCCTATATCTTGTATTCTGATACTGATAGAGCTGATTTTTATTTTTTATTTTTAAAGATGTACTCTCATCTTTCTACAGGCATTTTTATCCTTCACTAATTTGGTGCCAATTCTCAATTCAATTTGTAAATACAAAATAGTGGATTACGTTGTAATTAAAAACATTGCATTTAAAATTTTGCCTTTCACTTTCATCACTATTAATTTGATCTTTTTCGGTAAAATATTCAAAAAAATATATTCTATATAAAAATACATTTCTATACTTTGATTTGACACTGAATGATTGATGTTGGGCGACGCAGTGGTGCAGTAGGTAGTGCTGTCGCCTCACAGCAAGAAGGTCGCTGGTTCAAGCCTCGGCTGGGTCAGTTGGCGTTTCTGTGTGGAGTTTGCATGTTCTCCCTGTATATGCGTGGGTTTCCTTCGGGTGCTTTGGTTTCTCCCACAGTCCAAACACTTGCGCAATAGGTAAATTGGGTAGGCTAAATTTTCCATAGTGTATGAGTGTGAATGAGTGTGTATGGATGTTTCCCAGAGATGGGTTGCAGCTGGAAGGGCATCCGTTGCGTAAAACACACGCTGGATAATTTGCCGGTTCATTACGCTGTGGCGACCCCAGATTAAAAAAAGGAACTAAACTGAAAAGAAAATGAATGAATGAGTGAATGATCCATGTTGCTCTTTTAGTGTGAACACTTTTGTTATCCTAATGTGTTTAAATGTGTTTTTCATTGTAGCAAATTGTGTTCTGATTTGACACAATTTTTGTGAATTATGAGCATCGTATTATGGTGTAGTTTCTCACAACATATGCCATAATCAATGTTACTGTATGTAGTTCTTTGTGGCTGATTAAATGTATTGGACTACACAAGTGTTTATACTTTTAAAACAATCCAGCTGAGCAAGCTTTTAACTAACACTGGAAGTGGTCAAATATAAACAACCTCAAAAAGTTTCAAACCCCATCTGTTGTTGTCCACTTGGGATTGCTGAAAATGTGTCTTTTAGCAGGT